TGTTGTGCTTTGGTTCCTTTTGGTTTGATTCCTGTTTGTTACTCTTTGGCTACACTTGAAGCCTCTTGACTTATTCAGAGAACTCCCCCCTAGTGACATTTTTTAGGATAGCCCATCCTGACACTGCTGAAATGCTCTTTGAAAAAACCAAGGGACTAGAATGTTTGGAGTTCATAAAATAACGTCTAAATCCTGTCAGATTAAAAAAAAAAAATGATCTTCTCACAAAAACGAGCTTAGAAGAAAATTCAGTTCCTCAAAAGTCATCATTTAAAAATTGACGACTATTCTCACTCAGTTCCCTAGATTAGTTGGAATTGGAATACTTTATAATTTGTACCTAAAGAATTTGAGTTAAACTCTTCTTAATGGCATTCCTACTTACTACCATTTCAGCTCTTTTTGACCAGGATAGTTGAAAATTAGTGAAATACATCAAATCCAAGAGGACTCTTAATAATTACTTAAAAGCATTTATGTCATAATTATAATTTTAATTTTTCCATAAAATAAGCATTATGATTGCACACTCCTATTGTCTGAATTCATGTAAGAGGTATCGCTTGCTTAAAATATATATGTAAAGTTATATTTTTCTTAGAGACATGGATGTTTGCAAGCATTGCTTTCAAAGAGATTACCACCGTGCATTCTCCGTTTTATGTTTTTATGAAGACTGTGTTATACCAGAGGCTTCAGATTATCAAAGTGATAACCAATTTTTTAACTGCCTGTATATACCAGATTTGTGAACTAATTTTTAAAAAAGCATACAAAAACATGAATAAAATGGAGTTTGCAAACTACCAATAATCATTTTCACCTGTGTTTATTGACTGAAATTGATCAGTAAAGCAATTTACATTTAGTGAAAGTCAATTTCCTCAAGTGATCTCCCTGGTAGCATGTTTACTCACTACTCAGGGAGGGGAGATAAGGATTACTTTATTGCTATAGATGCTTTACAGTTGGTATTTCAAATGTAAGCACAAAACATTATAGTCAAAGAAAATTCATTGATTTAGCACTTCTTTTGAAATTATATATAAATGTGCAAACAAATAAGAACCTGAGTATCAACTGTATGACAAGAGTTTTTAATGCAAAAGCAAGAGACATTAACCAGAGACTTTCAAAAATGTGTATTTAAAAGAATCAGCGGCACCACGGTGTCTTTGTTAAGCATCCAACTTCAGCTCTGGTCGTAATCTTGCAGTTTGGCTTGTGGAGTTTGAGCCGTCCGTCCGACTCTGTGCTGACAGCTCTGAGCCTGGAACCTGCTTCAGATTCTGTGTCTCCCTCTCTCTCTGTCCCTCCCCGTCTCTTTCTCAAAAATAAATGAACATTAAAAATTTTTTAATTTTTCTGATGTTTGTTTATTTTTGACAGAGAGAGAGGGAGACACAGAATCTGAAGGAGGCTCTAGGCTCCGAGCTGTCAGCACAGAACCCAATGCAGGGCTCGAACCCTCAAACCACAAGATCATGACCCGAAGTCGGACACTCAACCTACTGAGCCACCCAGGTGCTCCAAAAACCAGAATTTTCAGATTAATTTGTGAAAGCCACCTTCCTAAACCTTAGGTTAGCATCATTTATCACTTCAATTTAAATGTTTTATGGGGCTCCTGGGTAGCTCAGTTGGTTAAGCTTCCGACTTCGATTTCGGCTCAGGTCATGATCTCATAGTTCTTGGGATAGAGCCCCGTGTCCGGCTCCCCGTGTCGGGCTCTGTGCTGACATCTAGCTCAGAGCCTGGAGCCTGTTTTCAGATTCTGTATCTCCCTCTCTCTCTGACCTTCCCCTGCTCATGCTGTCTCTCCCTCTCAGAAATAAATAACATTAAAAAAATTAAAAAATAAAATGTTTTATATATTTGTGTCATTAGTCTTGTGCTTTTACTTGACTTCCAATTACATATTTTCAACTATTAATTACAAGCAATTTTATTTTACTTTTATTTTTTAAGATTTTAGTTGTAAGTAATCTCTATACCCAATGTGGGGCTCGAACTCACAACCCTGAGATCAAGAGTCACAGGCTCTACTAACTGAAACAGCCAAGTGCCCCAATTACAAGCCATTTTAATTGGGTCATTATGTTAAAATTAAATATGTAAAGAGCTTAACTCAGAATCTTTCGTTATCAACTAATTCTTCTTTCTATCTACCCATTTTATATAGGTAAGGTCCCCATTTTAGAAGTCTCTCTCCTTCAGACTGTAAGATTGTCTTGAGCCTTCTTTTCCTTAAATTCCTTTATGCAATCTGTCTAGAGGGAGTTCAGACCTGTTCTCAGGACTGATTTGACACACCTAAGAATTCCTAACCTACCTCTGGGGTAAACTTACCACCCTGAACTGTTTGATCTGTGCCCTCCTGTGACTTAGCTTCATCTGTCAAAAGTATATTCAAATTGCAAACTGGCTCTGCACTGAAAGATGTAAAACAAGGTTTGAGCAAACCTATGGAAGGGAACAGCATACTGGAGACAGTATCATACGAAGGCTAATTAGGCCGAGTTATTAAGTTCCAATACAATGGGAGTAGTAAGATATTCTGACCAAATCATTAGAACATTTTAATAATTTTAAAAGTTACAGTATGCACCCTTTCACTAACCACAATTCTCCTTCCCGTTGTTATTCATAAGCAGTTTTACATAATAAATTGCTTTACTCTTACTATTTCAAATGTGCTTTTCCATTAATCTGGACATTTCCTACTGCTCAGTTGTATTGCCTACATATTCTGTTTGGCAGCTAGGACTGCTTAAACTTCCCTTTTTTTTTTTTGGAAAGCTATGTTTATCCCATTCTTTTTCTGTTACAAAGACATTAAAACGTTTTTTATCTTGTTCTGATTTCAGCGTACTAGAATAGAATTTTTGGGAAAAATGTAAACTTTTTTTTCCCAGTCTGTTTCTTCCTATATTGCCATCTACAAAAACAACCATTGTAGGGGCTCCTGGGTGGCTCCGGTGGAGTGACTGACACTTGATTTCCGCGCAGGTCATGATCCAGAATGGTGGGATTGAGCCCTTGCCTCTAGCTTCCTGGTGAGCTTGGAGCCTGCTTGAGACTCCCCGCCCCACTCTGCCCTGCTGGGGCTCTTTCTCTAAAATAAAGAACAAAAGGGGCACCTGGGTGGCTCGGTAGATCGGTTAGGCGTTGGGCTTCGGCTCAGGTCATGATCTCCCAGTTCCATTCGTGAGTTTGAGCCCAGATCAGGCTCTGGAGCCTGCTTCAGATTCTGTCCCTCTCTGCCCCTCCCCCATGCGATCTCTCCCTCTCTCTCAAAAATAAACAAACGTCAAAAAATAACAAAACTTTATTTAAAAAACCAACCAACCATTCAGTCCTACTCAACAACTGCATCTCTCTCTCTGTCATCTCATTTTTCTCTTTTTAAAGTTTCCTACTTTATTTGGAAATAGTACCTCCTAGCTGTCTTAAGTTTCCAAATGTTTAATTACTAGCAAAGGTTGACATTTTCAAATGTTGGTTTTTCCTATTTCTTGTTCTTGGTGTTCTATGACCATCTGTATGCTGGGGACTTAGAGATCTAAATACAGCACAGAAATGAGTCTTTTTTTTTTTTTTTAAATTACAGGATGACAACCATACAGTAGAAGTGTACCTAACAAATGTTGTAGGTAACTTTTCGTTTATTAATTCAAACCACATGCACTCAACCTCCACTATTTACCAGATACCATACTCTAGGGATACATCAAAGAACAATGTAGACATGCTTCCTGCTCTCATGAGGTTATAGTTTACTTTTTTTTTTAATTTTTAATATATATATTTTTTAATTTATTTCCAGGAGAGAGAGAGAGAGAGACAGCGTGAGCAGGGGAGGGTCAGAGAGAGAGGGAGACACAGACTCTGAAACAGGCTCCAGGCTCCGAGCTGGCAGTCAGCACAGAGCCCGACGCGGGGCCCGAACCCACGAACCGCGAGATCATGACCTAAGCGAAAGTCAGACGCTTAACCGACTAAGCCACCCAGGCGCCCCTATAATTTACTTTTAGTATGAAATATTTCAAGCATAACAGGGGCACCTGAGTGGCTTAGTCGGTTAAGCTTGAGCGTGGGACTACACTTCAGGTCATGATCTCACAGTTAGAGCGCATGAGACCGAGCTCTGACAGCTCAGAGCCTGGAACCTGCTTCTAATTCTGTCTCCGTATCTCTCTGCCCCTCGCCCGCTCATGCTCTGCCTCTCTCTCTCTCAAAAAATGAATAAACATTAAACAATTAAAAAAAAAAAGTCAAGCATAATGAAGCTTTTTGCGATCTTAAAGGGATTCTATAGTAGGTTAGAAACGCAAATCTGTTTTGTATCTTGTATCTTCCTACGCCTAGTCCCGCTACAGCACGTCTGAATGGGGACATTAATCGTCCGCTTGGATGCCCTTCACACCATTTGGCTGGAAAACCCGTTCACTGGAATTTCCGGTTGTGCTACAAACCCGAACTTAAACCGTTGTAACCTCCGGCATCCTGCACCGAGCGAGGCGCAAGCCTGACCGCGGCTGGGTCAGCAGGGGCCGGGGAGGGGGAGGGGGACACGCCACAAAAACGCATAGACTCGCCCCAGGTGCCAGACCTTCCCCTTGGCCTCAGGCCCTCAGCATCGGGCGAGTCCTCCGGCTCACCACTCCACTTTTCTCAAAACTTGGCCACTCCCCTCAGCCCATCTCTCAGACCATTCTGCCTCGAGTAGCCGGCTCCTGCCGCCTTTTTAGGCCCCTCCCTGGCGGCCGCGTCCCTCCCGCCGCTTAGGCCCCGTCCTACCCTGACATGCCTCTCTTAGGACTCCTCCACCTTCCTATTCCTCCCCGCGCCTTATTTCTCCCAAACTTGCGCCTACGTTGGCTGCGCTGGAAGACCCCTGCCCCCGTGGCTCCAAAGTAGTGGCCCTACCCGCTGTGGGCCACCGGCTCCGCCACCGCCGAACGGCGGACGTCCCACCCATTTCTGGTCTGGGGAGGGGTGCCGCCAACCTTTTAGAGCCCATTTTACGACAATGTGCGGCTGCGCGGTGTGGCTGACGGCAACGCCGCACTGCTCTTGGAGAGGTCACTCCGGAGACGGCGTTGGTTTTGGGGTGTAGGGGTCGCTGGCACTATGTGGCGCGTCTGTGCTCGTCGGGCACGGAATGCGGCCCCGAGGGCAGGATTCGGGGCTCGGTGGACGGCCTTGCGGGAGGACCCGGGAGCTGCGTGCGTGACCCCGCGGGCTGGCCCGGCTCCGGCTCCGGCTCGTTGCAGCAGTGGGACCGCGGGCTACGGCAGGGTCCGGGCGCTATGCGGCTGGAGCCCCAGCTCGTGGGCCACGCCGAGGAATCGCCTCGTGCTGCAGCTTTTGGGGTCGCCTAGCCGCCGCTGGTATAGCCTGCCCCCGCATCAGAAGGTGAGCCCCAGACCCGCCCTTGGCGGGAGCCGGTTTGTCCTTCAGGGAAGACTTCTTGGCGTTGGGATCTTCTCGCTGAGTGCTCAGTGATCCTCCACCCGCCTGCTAGTATATATCATTTGTTCCTTCTCCAGTACCCAGCTTTGCTGTGATCTGTTTATTCTATTGAAGGAGGAGAGTTCAGGCTTCCCTCTCCTGAGCTAGTCCGTTGAAAGAAGAGCTCCAAACCTGAGGCTATTTGTGCCGTGTCTGCTGAGTTAGGCGCTCTGTCAGTCCCACGGGCTTGTGGAGCTGAACCCTGTCACTGGAGAGCTCCTGGTGGCAGGGACTCTGTCCCCAGTGCCCGCTGTTAGATGAGACTCTGTGCACTCTTTGCATTAAATAAAATTAAGTGAAATAAACCAGGTTGAGAGATAACGTTTTTTTTTAAATTTAGTGTTTCTCCTTTTTTTCCTTCAGGTTCCATTGCCCTCTCTTTCCCCCACAATGCAGGCAGGCACCATAGCCCGTTGGGAAAAAAAGGAAGGGGAAAAAATCAATGAGGGTGAACTAATTGCAGAGGTAAGTTGTTTAAAATATGGAAACGAGTCCGAAGCACTGGCTCAGCTACAGTGAGTGTTAGATACTTATCCCTTTTGCTTAAGAAACTTAGATGGTTTTTACAACTTGATATTAGAGAAGGCTGGTTAGATAAGCTGTCAACAGGTAGCCAGACTGATTTTTAGCTAAGGTGTTTTCTTAAATAATTCCTTTCAGATCTATAGTAGAGGCTTTATCTTCACGGGACTGTTGAACTGTGTGATTCTAGGCACGTCTAATAAATTTCATGCTGGTAGCATGAGCCTAAGCTCCTGCTTTGTGTTAAAAGGTGGAAACTGATAAAGCCACTGTTGGATTTGAGAGCCTGGAGGAGTGTTACATGGCAAAGATACTTGTGGCTGAAGGTACCAGAGATGTTCCAGTCGGAGCAATCATCTGTATCACAGTTGAAAAGTGAGTAGTACCTTGGTAGTTTTTTGAACTTAGGTGCCTGGTGGAGTTTTGTTTTTTTTTTAACGTTTATTTTATTTTTGAGACACAGAGAGACAGAGTATGAGTGAGGGAGGGTCAGAGTGAGAGGGAGACACAGAATCTGAAACAGGCCCTAGGCTCTGAGCTGTCATCACAGAGCCCCACGCGGGGCTCGAACCCACGGACTGCGAGATCATGACCTGAGCCGAAGTCGGCTGCTTAACCGACTGAGCCACCCAGGTGCCCCTGGAGTATTTTAACCCAGAATTGAGAAAATAGGAGTTAAAGGCTTTGAAGGCTACTTTTGTAGGAGCTAAATCTGCTTTATAACTCCCTGTATTTACGCATTCTTTCTCTTCCTTAGACCTGAGGATATTGAGGCCTTTAAAAATTACACACTGGATTCCGCGGCAGCACCTACCCCGCAAGCAGCCGCAGCACCAACCCCCGCTGCCCCTGCTTCTCCACCTGCACCTTCTGCTCAGGCTCCTGGTAGCTCGTATCCCACTCACATGCAGGTGAGGCTCAGACTCCGGGTGTTTGCTCTGGAAATTTTATTATTTATTATTTTTCATCAGAGGCTATTCCATCCTGGACACAGGCGTTAAATATGGCTAGCTCTTGTCATTTGAAAGTAGATGGAGATTTAAAAATGAAAATTGACAGTTTTACTCCTAGTTCTTATTTCCAGGTGTGTGAACTTGGACATTGCTTTAACCTTTCTCAACCTCCGCGTGGTAGATAGGATAGTGCTTGGCAGTGTTCGTTCAAGAACATTATATTAGATTTTGAGGGTAATTGGTACCTATATGTACTTCCATAAATAGAGTGTTTAGTAGGCCTCACGTGTTATCTATTGAATAAAAGTCCCCAACTGATGTTTTCCTTTGACATGTGGTGTTTTATTCTAAGAGTGGGTCAAGTAGTCCAGTATTATTAATAAATGAGGAAACTGACAATAAAGAGTGAGTGCAGAATAGACATATATTATAGCATTGCAAAAGAGCTGAAGGGAATAAATAATCACTGTTGGTTCTGTTAAATCCATTTCTAAGAGACTAAAGCAGTTTATTAGATACTAGGGTTATCCCATGTATATTTGTGTTTTGGATACTGGAAATGAGTAAAAAAGCCCCTGGCCTTTTTCTGAAGGATTAAGACTAAAACTTTTTTCACTTAGTTTATTTGTAGAAGTTTCCATACAGGAATCATTTTCTTTTGGGGGTATAATCTTCTTCTCCATGGTCTATCACTCATGGTGATGTTTTGTGTGGTGACGTTTTGTGTGGTGGTTGGTTCACACATTTATTTCATCCTGTTCAGCAACTGTCTCTCGCTACGTAAGACTCACTTCATTTTTCTCCATTTTCTGTGTGTGGCTTTGTGTGCACGTGTTACGGTTGTGTCTTAATTATCCTTTAAGACACTATGTAGAGATTATTGGCTTCACTAGTTTTTAAGAAGTAGGTGGAGATGACAAATTCTGAACAGAAAAAAAAAACACTTAAGGAACAGTTTGTAATTAGGGTGTTTTTTCTCTCTTTGGTGCCTTCCTGAGGCATCATTTGAAATGATTTTTCTCTCAGCATGATCCTGGTGTTGAGAAGAAGCAAACAAAACCCATGATAACTGAGAAGCATCCAAATTCAGTGGACACACAAGCCATACAGTGGCAAAACACTTTTTCACTTAGGTCAGCCAGTCTGATGTTTAGATATAATTGGGGTAGAAGTCACTGTTGTAGGAACAATTCTTTTATTTATTTGTTTTTCCTGCAAATAGTGAAAGTCTTACTTCTTCCTTACCAATTTGGATGCCTTTTATTTCTTTTTCTTGTTTGATTGCTTGCGGCTAGGACTTATAGTACTATGTTCAATGAGAGTGGTGAGAGTGGACATCTTTGTCTTGTTCCTGATCTTAGAAAGAAAGCTCTCAGTTTTTTACCATTGAGGATGATATGAGCTGTAGGTTTGTCATATATGGCCTTTATTAAGTTAAGGTATGTTCCCTCTAAACCTACTTTGTTGAAGGTTTTTATCATGAATGGATATTGTACTTTGTCATATACTTTTTCTGCATCTACTGAAACGATCATATGGTTTTTATCCTTTTTGTTATTAATGTAGTCTGTCGCACTGATTGATTTGTAAATATTGAATCACCCTTGCATCCCTGGAGTAAAGCTTGATCATGGTGAATGATTTTCTTTTTTTAATATATTGTCGTATTCAATTTGCTAATATTTTGTTAAGGAGTTTTGCATCTATATTCATCAGATATTAGCTATAGTTTTCTTCCTTTCTTTTTGGTGGTTTAGGTATCAGGGTAATGCTGGCCTTGTAGAATGAATTTTCAAGTTTTTCTTTCTCTTCTATTTTTTGGAATAATTGAGCAGAATAGGTATTAGGTCTCTTAATTTTTCTTAAGTTTATTTATTTTGAGAGTGAGAGTATGTGTGTGCACGTCAGGGGGCAGGGCAAGAGGGAGGGAGAAAGAGAATTCCAAGCAGGCTCTACATGTCAGCACAGAGCCCAAAGTGGGGCTCCATCCCATGAACTGTGAGATCATGACCTGAGCTAAAATCGGGAGTTGGACACTTAACCGACTAAGGTGCCTTGGTATTTACTTTTCTTTAAATGTTTGGTAGAATTCATCTGTGAAGCCATCTGTGGACATTTGTTTGTTAGGAGTGTTTTGGTTCAGTTTCATTGCTAGTGATTGGTCTACTCAAATTTTCCATTTCTTCTCGATTCATCTTTGGAAAGTTATATGTTTCTAGTAATTTGTCCATTTCTTCTCAGTTGTCCAGTTGGTTGGCATATAATTTTTTATAAAAAATAATTCTTTTTTTTTTTTTTTTTATCTTCCTAGGGTATCTGGGAAGTTTGGGAGAAAATGCAGTTTCCTCTGAGTCAAAGCATATATGCTCGTATTTTAAAAGCAAAATTTTAATGAAATAGTCTAGACCAAGATCATTCTGTGAAAACGAAAAATTCTAGCTTAACCTAAGTGATAAAAAAGAAGGAAAGGTATTCTGTGTTTAGATATGTAATTGAATTAATTTTGACTATCTAGGAAGAAATCTTTCACGTCTACCCATTGCTTTTAACTTGGGTGGAAGAGGAGGGGTCAAAGTATCAGTGAGAATGTAAAGCTTGAGATTTGAAGGATGATTCAACTGGTGGGACATTGAGACGTTGAAGTTTTGCTGTTATGGAGCATTAGACAGACGGGAATTTGGATCATCAGAGTCAGTCACTATCATTCCATGAAACGATGGAAACTTGCCCAAGTACCATTGTGTCCAAATCTTCCTTGTATTAAGCAATAATATGTGTTTATTTCTGCAGGTGGTTCTTCCTGCCCTCTCTCCCACCATGACCATGGGCACAGTTCAGAGATGGGAAAAAAAAGTGGGTGAGAAGCTAAGTGAAGGAGATTTATTGGCAGAGATAGAGACTGACAAGGCCACTATAGGTGAGATTTCTTCAGCTCTTAATGGTTGAGGCACTGAGTTTTCCAATGAGGGAAGAGGATTGCCGTCCTATCCTATAATGAGTGAGTGATAACATGAAAAATTTTAATTTGGGGGATTCATTTCCTGGAACAGGATATGTCGTAACAGAAGTGTACGTAGTGGGATTTGTCAGTTCCACACCACACTCTAAGTGAATCAAGGATATGTCAACTTAGGGATTATTTTTAGGTTAGAGTTTGCTTCTCAACCATATTATGTTACTAAGAAGTCATATCAGAACCACCAGTCTCTAAACTGGGCAAGGGAAAAAAGAAACATGAAAAAATTACTCCTAAGGCAGGAAAATACCAAAGGATTTAAGATGACTGTGAGGAAAAGCTGAAACCAGGGTTTGGCTTGGGTTCATAGTTTGAGAATGACTGACAGAGTGTATATATACCTGTTCAGGTATCATGTCACGTTTCCATATATTCCCTTTCTGATTCATTGTTATGCTCAGAACAAAACCCACCTAGACAATTGTATATTTGTGATAATATTTACAGATATTAGTAGATAAATCTACTTCTTTCTTGTCTAGTCCTCAAAGATGCAGGGGAGATTCTGGACGTCCTCTGCAGTGGTGGATTTTAGACTGTGTTCTTCAAACCCCATGAGTCCTCGATGACACCTTGGGGCAAGGAGACGTCCTGAACAGGACTCTGCTGTGCCCTGCCCCTTCCCCCAACTTCCACCAGGGCAACTGCTTTTTATCTTTTTGCATATTGTGTTCTTCCCAGAAGATCTTATTAGAAGAAAGGATTCTGTTTGTTAAAAAGAAATAAACAAGACATCTTAGTAACAATAGATCTGCTTGGCATTTTGACTTGCATACCAGTATTGCTATGGACATAGTATCCTAGGGGCTCTAGTCACTAGAGATGTATTACCTGGTCAAACTCTTTACACTTTATTGTGACCCTGGAGTCCTTTTTTTTTTTTTTTTTTACATCTTTTTTATTGAACATTAATGCTTAACTGGAGAAGGGAAAGATTCATCAAAGATGTGTTCATCAGAGAGAGAGGCACAAGACAACAGAAAGCCCAGATCTGCAAGGCAAAAATTATTCTTTGTGATGGCTTTTCAAAAATATATGTTTTTTTAACTTTTTAAAAATGTTTTATTTATTTCTGAGAGAGAGACAGCATGAGCAGGGGAGGGTCAGAGAGAGAGGGAGACACAGACTCTGAAACAGGCTCTAGGCTCTGAGCTAGCTGTCAGCACAGAGCCCGACGCGGGGCTCGAACTCACAAACCGACCCGTGAGATCATGACCTGAGCCGAAGTGGGACCCTTAACCGACTGAGCCACCTAGGTGCCCCTGTAGTTTTACTTTTGAAATACTTCACATTTGAGTTCTTTCTAAGAGCAGTAGCTGAATAAAACCATAGAAACCCTGGTAATACCATATTTACTGTATTTCTTCACATTGAAATATTTAGTTGAATACCCAATGTAATTTCTTTGAAAAACTCCAGAGATGCTTTTAGGGGCATAATCTCACATCACTGTCAAAACTAGTAGTTCCTTTAATTTAACATCCATGTGGTTCTGATTTTTAGCCATCTTGGGGTCTCGTGGGTCTGCGTAGGGGCTTCCCTTAGAGAACATTTCCCTTTAAGAAAATGTTCAGAATTGGGGCGCCTGGGTGGCTCAGTTGGTTAAGCGTCTGACTTCGGCCCAGGTCACTATCTCACTGTTTGTGGCCTCAAGCCCCATGTCAGACTCAGTGCTGACAGCTCAGAGTCTGGAGCCTGCTTCAGCTTCTGTGTCTCCCTCTCTCTCTGCCTCTTCCCTCACCCCTCTCAAAAATAAGTAAACATTAAAAAAATTAAAATAAAAAAAATGTTCAGAATTAACTTCTGTCTGTAATCTCTCATAGTTTTATTTAACAACTATTTATTTAGTATTTACTTTGTACCAGGTGCTGTTTCTAGTTACTTGATAAATATTAATTCTTTTTTTTTTTATTAAAATGTTTTATTTATTTCTGAGAGAGAGAGAGAGAGACAGTGTGAGCAGGGAAAGGTCAGAGAGAGAGGGAGACACAGAATCAGAAACAGGCTCCAGGCTCTGAGCTAACTGTCAGCACAGAGCCCGATGCGGGGCTTGAACCCATGAATCGTGAGATCATGACCTGAGCCAAAGTTGGACACTTAACCGACTGAGCCACCCATGCGCCCCCGACAAATATTAATTCTTATAACATCTCTGTGAGGTAGATATTATTGTTAACCCCATTTTGTAAGTAAAGAAGCTGTGTGACACAGAGAAGTTGGTAACTCACCAAAAGTTGGATAGCTAGCTTGAAAGAGAAGAGCTTTTTTAGTTAAAACTGTGCTTTGAGTTTGGTGGGATAGTGGAGTCCCTGAAGTTCCATAATGGTTTTTCTTTCTATTTAAGGTTTTGAAGTACAGGAAGAGGGTTACCTGGCAAAAATCCTGATCCCTGAAGGCACAAGAGATGTCCCTCTTGGAACCCCACTCTGTATCATTGTAGAAAAAGAGGAAGATATACCAGCATTTGCTGACTATAGGCCAACTGAAGTAACTGATTTAAAACCACAAGCACCACCATCTACCCCACCCCCGGTATGTATGCTTCTAGAATTGAGGACACATTACCTGTTGATCTCTAAGTTAAGGGATTAAATTGGATAATATCCTGGGTTCCTTCCCACTCTAAGACTCTACAAATAAAGAAGGAGATAGTTAGGGGCGCCTGGCTGGCTCAGTTGGAGGAACGTGTGGCTCTTGATCTTGGGGTTGTGGGTCTGAGCCCCATGTTGGATGTAGAGGTTACTTAAAAAAATCTGAAAAAGGAAAACAAAAAAGAAGGACATAGTTAGCATTTGTGGAGACCTACAGGTATGTGGCACTGCACCACTCTCCTAATGTTAGTTGTTTGACCCGTGTGGTTTATTTTTTTTCCTACTGTCATGAGTCCTGCTGAGAACAAAGTTGAGATGACGTTCTTTTTTTTGCTTTAGGTATAGATATGTATATGGAAGTTAATAATTCATTTCCCAATTTCTGTAGAATTTGTTATATATGATTGACTCATGAGCAACACAGGGCCAGGGACACTAACTCTGAGCACTTGCAAATCCATTTGTAACTTTGGATTCCACCCAGATTTAACTACTAAGCCTCCTATTGACCGGAAGCCTTAACCAACAATGTAGACAGTCCATTAGCACATATTTAGAGTATTGTATGTATTATATGCTATATTCTTAAAGTACACTAGAGAAATAAGATGTTATTAAAATCATAAAGGAGAGGGGCGCCTGGGTGGCTCAGTCGGTTAAGTATCCGACTTCGGCCCAGGTCATGATCTCACGGTTCGTGAGTTCGAGCCCCGCGTCAGGCTCTGTGCTGACAGATAGCTCAGAGCCTGGAGCCTCTTTCAGATTCTGCCTCCCTCTCTCTCTGACCCTCCCCTGCTCACGCTGTCTCTCTCTCTCTCTCTCTCTCTCTCTCTCAGAAATAAATAAAACATTAAAAAAAAATTATTTTGGGGCGCCTGGGTGGCTTAGTCGGTTAAGCATCCGACTTTCGCTTAGGTCATGATCTCGCGGTTCGTGGGTTCGAGCCCCGCGTCGGGCTCTGTGCTGACTGGCAGCTCAGAGCCTGGAGCCTATTTCAGAGTCTGTGACTCCCTCTCTCTCTGACCCTCCCCTGCTCGCTCTGTCTCTCTCTCTCTCCTAGAAATAAATAAAAAACATAAAAAAAAAATTTTTTTTTAAATATAAAAAAATAAAAAAAATAAAATAAAATCATAAAGGAGAGAAAACACATTTACAGTCCCGTATCATAAAAACCTATGTGCATGTGGGCCTGTGTATATTGTTCAGACTCTTATTGTTGGAGGGTCAATTATACTATGTTACTGTCAGTACTCTTGGTATTTGCTTATGATAATGGGTCAAGTTTACAGTATATTAGAACCTTGGCATAACATGGCTTGTTTTGCATAGAATTTAGTCTTGTTTCTGTATACTCTACAGTATATACTATATATCTATACTGTACTTGCATGAACTCCAGGCATAGATAACACTATCACCAGCGTTCTCTAGATGCTAGAATCATGTGAGTTTAGATTACGTACACATTTCTGTCAGAGGAATCTTGATTTGTGACTGCCCTGCGTTTTGTGGGGAGCTGGCAAGTAGTAGTGCTGGTTTATTTCTTAAGGTACTTTTAGCATGGAGCCTTCCAGCATAATTCATTACTTTGAAACGACGTTAACTGAAAACAAAAACCATGTTGGTGATGTGAGAAAATGAGAATAAGAAGCAGCAAGAGATTAAAGTGAAGAAAATCTTTAAAGATATTACATACTGGATAACAGTATTAAAATTCCTGCCTCTCCATGTTATTGTGAAGATAACTTGGTTCTGTTATCTTTGACATAAAGTGTTATTACTTTTTATATTCTTATGTTATATTGGTTAAGCAGGGAAAAAAGAGTATTATCATCTTTGAGAGAAAGATAAAAGTGGTTCAATTAATATAGCCCGACTTCTTAATAAAATGTAAACTCCTGATCTTTCACACCGGGCTTTGCAGTGGTGAATTAACAATGTATAACTTTTTTCAAAAGGTGGCTCCTGTTTCCCCAACTCCCCAGCCTGTAGCCCCCACACCTTCAGCCCCCCGCCCAGCTACTCCTGCTGGACCAAAGGGAAGGTTGTTCGTTAGTCCTCTGGCAAAGAAATTGGCAGCGGAGAAGGGGATTGACCTTACACAGGTGAAAGGTAAGTAAGTCTTTCTCTGTCTGGTTGTAAAGATAAAACTTGGTTGAGTTTCCTTCTTAAGACAGCAGGTACAAGTATGTACAGCCATCTTATCTGGAACAGTGGGGAGAAGGATGAGACAGTGAAATAATCTCCTTTGTTGCCACCACAGATAGGGGTCCTTGTGCTGTGTTAGTCCAGTTAGGATCTACCTATCTAGCATAGGTAGCCTTTTTCTTTCTCAGTTCTTGGAAACTACTTAATTGTTGGTGAAAGTATAATGTACTTATGCAACAAAGTTGAGGTTTATGACTTGACCTTGTATTGAGAAGTCTCTGCTAGTGAACAAAACCTAAACCTGGGGTGATTTGAAATGACCGAAGAATATAATTCATAAAGAACTGAACTAATAACTCCTTAAGGGCAAAGGGAAATGTCTCACTCAGATCTTTCTCTCCCCAAAGAGAAAGTATACCTTAGTGATAAGAGTGTGGGGTCTTGAATCAGACCATCTGGGGTTAACTCTTGGCTCTATCATCTTCTGTGCACTGTGGCTTTAGATGAATTACTTGTGTATGTCTATAGATGAATTACTTAAACCATCTGCTTTTCCATCTGTAAAACTGAAATAATGTGTTCGTTAGAACAGGCAAAGGGCTTAACATAATAGAATGTTAATAGCTAGAATATAATAAGTCCTCAACAAATGTTAGTCCTGTTCATATTTAATATTATTGCCTGGCATTTAAATAAATATTTTTGAGCTAAAATTAGATGTAAGGTAATTAGTGGACTTACTTGAACAAAGAAGAAATTATTAATCCCAAAGCCTGGTTTGATGGCTACTACTATATGCTAGTCATTGAATTACCACATTTAGCACGACTTTTCTTGAAATAAAATTCCCATTCACCATTTTTTTGGGTAAGAAGATATTCTTAAAGGATCTCCCTTGTATTAAGTAGTAAAGTTGCAATTTGAGTCTAGATCCTGGTTATTTCCCCAGTTGTCTGGCTGTGGGCATTCAGCGCTGGTTATCCTCTGTCTGCTGGCTTTTGTTTCATTGTTAGAACGCAAGCCGGTCCCCAAAGAATAAGAATAGAATGTTGTAAATTTATTGGATCTCAGAGGATTCTTGTAATATTCGAAGATGTTTTTTCCATCTTCATGTTGTTTCACTGACATAACGCCATTTTTTAATGTTATTTGTGACTAGAATTAGTAATGTAAGTTGGAATAGATTTTAAGGGGAGAAAGGCCTGAGTTAATAATTACATCTGAAGAATTTAGACAAGTGAAGAAGGACCATTTATGAGATGACTTAGCAACAGTGGCTGCCTGGCTGCCGTACACAAGATGTGAGTGGGGAAATCCCGTGTTCTTATCAAGCAATTAGAGTTAGGTGATTCATTTACCAGTATTTAAACAAATATTCATCAAGTGTTGTCTGTGCATCTAACGCTTGTTCATAAGACAGATGAGGTTTCAGTTTCAGATGCCTGTATTACCAACAATAAAGAGTTAAATGAGCAGAAAGGGAATATTCCTAACTCAGCTTAGTCGTTAGGAGTATGGGCTCCAGAGCTGGAATGCTCAGGTTCAAATCCCAGCTCTGCTGTATGCTTAGCTATATGACCTTTTGTGTCTGTTTCTTCTTTTTTGTATAAAAATAATGCCTTACTGGGGCACCTGGGTGGCTCAGTCGGTTGGGCGTCTGACTTTAGCTCATGTCATGATCTCACGGTTCTCATGGCCGCATCAGGCTCTGCTGACAGCTAGTTCAGAACCTGGAGCCTGTTTCAGATTCTGTACTTCCCTCTCTCCCCTGCTCATTCTGTCTCTCTCTTTCTCAGAAATAAATTTAAAAAAACATTTAAAAATTAAAAAAATAATGCCTTATGGGTTTTGAGGATTAACTAAGTTAACAAAGAGTATCTGCACATAGGCAGCATATAGAAGTATTAGCTGTAAAAATGAAAATAATGTGTTATTATTATATAAAGTGAATGCCAAGAAAGAAAGAAACCAAGTGATACACTGTTGAGTGACAGGGTGAATATATGTGCAGTCATAACTGCTTTTAGACATGGTGGTTGAGGAAGATCTTCCTGATGAGGTGACATTTGATGCAACCTGAAAGATGAGGAGTCAGCTGTGAGCCAGCCATGTGAAGAACTGGGGACAGAGAGACCAGTAGTACATGTCGAAATGGGAGAGAGCTTGGCATGTTTGTGGAACATAGAGGCGACCAGTGTTCATGGAGCATAGTGAGCAGAGGGTTTAGTGGCAGGAGGTGAGGTTGGAAAGAAATACAGGGGCAAGAACAAGAAGGACTTTACAGGTCATGTAGAATTTAATTTTATTAAAGCCTAGTAGAAAGCCACTAAAGGATTAAAATAAGGACAGGGTTTTTTTTTTTGTTTTGTGTATGTGTGTGTATTTTAATTTTACAGAGAGAGTGGAGCAGCGGAGAAGGGCAGAGGGAGAAAGAGAAAGAATCCTAAGTAGATTCCATGCTCAGTGCAGAGCCTGACACGGGGCTCGATCCCACAACCCCAGGATCATGTCCTGAGCTGAAATCAAGAATTGGGCACTCAACCGACTGAGCCACCCAGGCACCCCAATAGGGAAGTATTTTTAAAAGGTCATTTTAGCTGCTTGGTGCAGATGGGTTAAGTGAAAGCCAAGGTCCCTGTTAAGGTGCTGTTGCTGGAGCTGACAGTGGTGACTTAGACCAGCATGGTGAGAATGGAAATGGAAAGAAATGGACAGCTTCAAAATACATTTTTGACGGAATCAACAGAACTTATCGAGGATGGTACATGGGGACTTGACAGCAGTTATTTCAAAAGAAAGGTGTGGTGGAAGCCAGTCTGAGTAAGCTGAAAAGTAGAATATGGATGGAGAAGTGGAGATAGCATTGTGGACAACTCATTCAAGAAGCTTCACTATGAAGGAAGGCATAGAAATAGAGCTCTAGCTTAGGAGGAGGATATGAGCTCAAGAGAGGGCTTTTGAGAGTGAATGATAGTAGAAAAGGTCTAGTACGGAGTTTCTGAGCTGTGGCGCTGTTGACGTTTTTGACCAGATAGTTTCTGGTTTGTCTTGTGCATTGCAGGATGCTCAGTAACATCCTAGGCTTCTGCCCACTGCATCATAGAAGCATCACCCACTTGTAACAACTGAAAGCAACTTCAACGTTGCCACGTGTTCCTGGGATGGGCAAAATTGCCTTGGTGAGAACTAGTTGTCTAGTAGAAAGGGGTAAATAGATGGTGAAGAAAGGGCAGAATAGTTTGGCAAGCAACAGAGGCTTTGGAAATACAAGAAGGAAAGGATTGGCTTTTGATAGGAATTAAGGACATTTTGTCTTATTTTTATAGGAGAGGAGGGTATGGGGTGGATTTATAAGCTTGATGGTGGAGGTTGAGGATAATAACTCTGATTGCTACTGTTGGGTCAAGAAAGTGAAGTGAAGGCATCGGCTGGAGACTGAGTATGGAAAGGTTTGAGGTTAGAGAATTTGTGAGGTAGTATTCTCAGAGATGGGGAAAGTGAACTCAGAGGAAACATAATTTAGTTTCTGGGCAGTTTGTATGTCTATTTCAGGTTTTGGTTCTGAATGTAGAGTATAATCAGTCACCTAAATGTGTGCTTTTTTTGTCCCCAACAGCATTAAGCTCCTCTGATGCTGGCACTGAGAAGGCAGACCTTTTTTTTTTTTTCAAGTTTTTATATAAATTTTATTTAAATTCTGGCTAGTTTACATATACAGGTAAAGCTAGTTTCAGGTGTAGATTTTAGTGATTCATCACTCACATATAACACCCAGTACTCATCCTAACAAGTACCCTCCTTAATACCCCTCATCCATTTAGCCCACCCCACGCCCACCTCCCTCCATCAACCTTCAGGTTAGTGTCTGTAGTTAAGAGTCTCTTATGGTCTGCTTCCCTCTTTTTTTTCCGTTCCTCTGTGTTCATCTGTTTTGTTTCTTAAATTCCACATATGAATGAAATCATATGGTATTTGTCTTTCTCTGACTGACTTGTTCTGCTTAGCAAAATATAATCTAGCTCCATCCACATCGTGGCAAATGGCAAGATTTCATTTTTTTTGATGGCTGATATTCATTGTACACTACATCTTCATCAGTCGATGGACATTTAGACTCTGACTATTGTCGATAGTGCTGCTATAAACATCAGAGGGCATGTGTCTCTTCAAATCAGTGTTTTTGTGTCCTTTGGGTAAATACAATTGCTCAGTCATAGGGTGGTTCTGTTTTTAACTTTTTCAAGAACCTCCATACTGTTCTCCAGAGTGGCTGCACCAGTTTGCATTCCCACTAACAATGTAAGAGGGTTCCCCTTTCTTCACATCCTTGTCAACACCTGTTGTTTCTTGTGTTAATTTTAGCCATTCTGACATGTGTGAGGTGGTAGCTCATTGTGATTTAGATTTGTGTTTTCTTAATGGTGAGCGATGTTGAACATCATGTCTGTTGGCCATCTGGATGTCTTCTTTGGGAAAAAGTCTGTGCATGTCTTCTGCACTTTTCTTATAATTTGTTTTTATTTTGAAAGAAAGAGAGGATCCCAAGTAGGCTCTGCACTGCCAGTGCAGAGCCCAGTGAGGGGCTTGAACCCACAAACTGTGAGATCATGACCGGATCCAAAATAAAGAGTTGGACACTTAACTGACTGCGCCATTCAGTCTCCCCTCTTCTGCCCATTTCTTAACTGGATTATTTATTTTTTGAGTGTTGAGTTTCATAAGATCTTTATAGATTTTGGATACTAACCCTTTATCAGATGTGTCATTTGCAGATGTCTTCTCCTATTCTGTAGGCTGCCTTTTAGTTTTGTTTCCTTCGCTGTGCAGAAGCTTTTTATCTTGATGAAGCCCTAGTAGTTCATTTTTGCTTTTGTTTCCCTTGAGCAGGCAGATATTTTAGAGTTTGACCAGGGAGTGATTACAACCGTGATCCACCCAGTGGAAGCTGGGTGAGAAAGTAAAGATGATAGGGGCATGGTAGATGATGAGAGCAGTCAGGTCAGTGGAGTGGGGGTCTTGGTGAGACAAGAAATTTTGTGGTAGGAAGGAATGGTCTGGAATAAGTGAGCTGAGACGATCGGTGATAGCGTGGGGTTTTCTGACACTTCTCTGTCACCAAAGATATGCTTTTTTTCCACACCAATAATCAATTCTCTGCCACCACTTGGGTATCTAAAACTTGAGTCCTATTCTGACACTTAAGTATCCAGAGTTAGCATCATGCCCCCCAGGCTTGAGGGCTCAGTCCCACAAGACAGCCTCACTTCCAATGCCAGTTGGAGGTCCTGGGGACCACCATACTTCGGACACACTGCTTGTAAGTCAGGACTTCCCAACGCTCCCACTTCAGGTATGGAAATTCACTAGAATGACTCCCAGAACTCAGGAAAGCACTGTGCTTACCATTACTGGTTTATGGTCAAGGATGCGCAGAGCAGTCAGTGGAAGAGATGCATAGGATGAGGAATGGTTTGTAGGGGACGTGGGTGCAGAGCTTGTGTGCCCTCACTGGAAGGACCACCCTCCAGCACATTGATGTGTTCACCAACCCAGAAACTCCGAATCTTGTTGTTAAGAGTATTTTATAGAGATTTCAGAAAGAAGGCATCCTTGGCCGTGAACTGTTGCACTCAACCTCTAGCCCCCCTCCCCTTCTTGGAGGGACAGATGACTCAGCAAATGGGACTACAGTGTAATCATTGGGGAGAAACTTTTTTTTAATTTTAAGTTTATTTTTATTGGTTTTGAGAGAGAGAACATGTACATGCGCAGGGGAGGAGCCGAGGGAGAAAGAGTCCCAAGTAGGCTCCATGCTGTCAGCACAGAGCCTGATGCAGGGCTCAGACTCAAAAACCGTGAGATCATGACCTGAGCCGGTATCAGGAGTTGGACACGTAACTGAATGAACCACCCAGGTGTCCAGAGAAACTGTTTCAAAGCCTAAACTCTAATGTTCCAAGTTTGATGTGTCTCCCAGTTCCTTATATATGCTTCCTATTTCTTTGAGACAAAGCACTTTTACATTACTATCCCATTTTATCCTTAGAGCTCACACATTCCTTTGAGCAGGGGTGGGCATGATAACCTCTGTCCTACAGACGTGCCAAAAAACCCAGCAGAGTAAGTGACTCTAGTCATCTAATTTATATCTGACACAACCCTGCATTTTTCCTCCTAGACTGGTGTTCTTCCCTTCAAACCATACTGCTTTATGCTGCCTGTTGTGCCTTCGTAGGGAGATGGGCAAAAGCATTTAAAAGATTTGAATGGGAATTTCTTGCGGGTGGCTGAACCCCAACCTAAGGCAGGTGATTCTGCAGGTCTCCTCTTGAGGGGCTGTTGTGTCCAGATCAGCCTTGGTGGTAAGGGGAAGTTATGGGTTCTGTCTTTTTTAAAGGAGGGGAATCTAATAGGGGTACCACTACCTCTGTTCTAGAGCTCCGGCTGAGGATAAGCACAATCCTAGCCAACTCATTTTTCATAATGAAGGAAAGGAGTTGGGACGAACTACGTACAACAAGAATCCTTTTAAAAGTCTGCCTTGGGGGAAGATGAATCAATTTGACCCAATTTTTTCTAGAAGTGGGCCAGTATAAAAGGTATTTTAAATAACTAAATTCTGAATCTCCTTAGAATTAAGGTTCAGGAATCTGTTTGGGTCTAAAGTTAAAGCTGATTGGTTGTGGATGGGTGGAGGAAGGAAATTGAGTGAAAATAAAACTCGGCCTGTTGTAAGAGGACTTTGAAGATCTTTCCTCACGTGTGACATTGCACACACTTCATTCCCAGGCCTCTGACAGAGGCCGGGTTAGAGCCTTGGCAAGTGTGAGAAAGCTGTGAGTGATGGAGCCCACACCAGGAAGGAGCAGTTCTAGAGATGAGATCGTTGCAGTTGAGAGTTATTCAAGCTGTTTTGGGGTGAAAAAATTATCTGAAACAGTTGTCTTATCCGTTGACTCTGTACAAAAGGAATTCTTTATAATCAAACGAATCTAGAATGAAGCAAGATCCATTTCAAGATGAAGAAAGGGTTTTTTGGAGCTGCCTAGGGGAGGAGGCAGCTAGACTTTGTTTTGGAGGTATAAGTTGTATTCAGCATTAGCCATATGCCAGTATTTCCCAATATAAAAGTAAAGGACATGAAAAAATGAAGTACAACTGATATAAAGCTCTAAAAGAGAAATAACAATGAGCATTTGCTGCCACGGGGTCTCTGTAGTGTCGTGGTTATCACGTTCGCCCAAAAAAGAACATTTGCTGTAGTAAGAAAGAAAAGAACGGCTGCAGATCAAATGAGCATTCTGTGAATCAAAGTTAATAATTGCATAAAAGCTGCTTTTTTTTTTTTTTTTTTTTTTTAGGGAGAACTTTAAGGTGCAGGAGTAGGACAGTGGCCCCTTTAGAGGGTCTTTGGTAGAGAACCCTTAGTGACTTGCACAGGATCACAGTGTCAGTTTCCCGGAGGAACTAGCAGTGTGCTGTCACATGTGTGGTATTTATACATCTCTTCCAGGAACGGGACCAGAAGGCAGAATCATCAAGAAGGATGTCGACTCGTTTGTGCCTACTAAAGCTGTTCCTGTGAGTTACATTTGGCTTTTTTTTTTTTTTTTGCAATTTGTTCCTGCAACATGCTCTGTCCAACCTATTAGACCCTTTCATTATTTATGTTATTTATGAATGAAATAGCTTGACCACAATTCCATTTTCTTTTGTCTAATTTCACTGGCTAGCAATATATAGATATGAATGGGCTATCATTCAATACATACGAGGAAAGATGAGGGGCGTTTGGGTGGTTCATTCGGTTGAGCGTCTGACTTCAACTCAGGTCATGATCTCACAGTTTGAGCCCTGCACCGGGCTCACTGCTTTCAGTGCAGAGCCTGCTTTGGATCCTCTGTCCCCTTCTCACTTTGCTCCTTCCCTGCTCATGTGCACTCTCTCTCAAAAATAAATAAGGAAAGATGATAATGCTACACTGACATGCATTCCAATTTCTTTTTCCAGTAGTGGTACTGAATTTTTCCTAACAAACCTTCCTTCTCACTCAGGCCCTATTTTTAATTTTTTTAAATTTTTTTGTTTTTTAATTTTTGAGAGACAGAAACTATGAGCAGGGGAGGGGCAGGGAGAGATGGAGACAGAATCTGAAGCAGGCTCCAGGCTCTAAGCTGTCAACACGGAGCCCCACAAGAGGCTCAAACCCACAAACCATGAGATCATGACCTGAGCTGAAGTCGGATGCTTAACCAACTGAGCCACCCAGCCACTCCGACTGGCTCTGTTTTTAAAAGCATGCTTACAAGTTGGTTGAATAGAGTTTGAGTTTTATGCGGCTCATAATTCCACACAGGGATTAAATCCACATAGCTGATCAACTAATGGTTAGTTGGTTTAAAATGTTAAGATTATTAGCTAAAAGTAGGGGCGCCTAAAGTGTTAAGATTATTATAGCTCAGTCGGTTAAGCGTCCGACTTCAGCTCAGGTCATGATCTCACAGTTTGTGGGTTTGAGCCCCGCATCGGGCTCTGTGCTGACAACTAGCTCAGAGCCTGGAGCCTGTTTCAGATTCTGTGTCTCCCTCTCTCTGACCCTCCCCTACTCACACTGTCTCTCTTTCTCGAGAATAAATAAAACATTAAAAAAATTAAAAAAAAAGATTATTAGCTAAAAGTAAGGAAAATGATTTAGTTATCTAGATGTTTGCTTTAAAATGAAAGGTTTGGGGGCGCCTAGGTGGCTTAGTCGGTTAAGCATCCGACTTTCGCTTAGGTCATGATCTCGCGGTTCGTGGGTTCGAGCCCCGCGTCGGGCTCTGTGCTGACTGCCAGCTCAGAGCCTGGAGCCTGTTTCAGAGTCTGTATCTCCCTCTCTCTCTGACCCTCCCCTGCTCACGCTGTCTCTCTCTGTCTCTCTCCTAGAAATAAATAAAATATTAAAAAAAATAAAATAAAAAAAAATAAAATAAAATGAAAGGTTTGTCATTGTTTTTTTCATAACACTGTCCAGAAAAATAATTACCTTGCTTATGTCTAATCCTTTCAGTTTAAGAATGCTTTCATTGCTTTTCTTGAAGGTAATTTTGCAGATACAAAATTATTCTGGCAAACTGATCATTGAACAAAGGAAAATGATATGACATGATTACAGAATTCTAAGAGTAAAAATTAAAAACAAAACTCTTGCATAAGCACAGTACAAATAAGAGTCCCTTTTGCTCCCTTGCAATAAAAATAGTTATTTTCTATAAGCCTTTTAATGTGTACTTTGCCATCTGTAGAGCCACTAGCTTGCCCCAGTTGCATATGCCAGGACTGAGCCACAGTTACTAAGAGCTTTTTTACTCCCCTGTAGATTCCAGCGGCTGCAGTGCCTGCCCCGGGTCCAGGAGTGGCTCCCGTTCCCACAGGTGTCTTCACAGATGTCCCAATCAGCAACATCCGTCGTGTAAGAGCATTACCCTAAATCTGCAACCAACGCTGTTGGGGGTGTCTTTACTCTGATTGTTTAATTGCGTTTACAGTTTGAAACACTAACAGAGACTTTTTTTAGTTGGGAATCTTAGAAGACTAGTTTAAGATGTTTGCTTTGGCCGGTTAGATACTTGGGATAAACAGATATTGTATTGATTAAACACCGCTAGAAGGGGCCCAGGTTACGGTGCTGTCCTCCATATTCCAGTTCTAATAGTGCTTGAGGTGAGCATTACCAGGGAGCTGGCTAAAGGGGCAAACAGAGCCCTGAATTAGGAGAAAAAGAAAAGAACCACTTAAGTGATGTTTTAATGTCTTTGATTCTAGGTTATTGCACAGCGGTTAATGCAGTCTAAGCAAACCATACCTCATTATTACCTTTCCATTGATGTAAATATGGGAGAAGTTTTGTTGGTACGGAAAGAACTTAATAAGGTAAAATGTCTGGGAATTCCAACCCTGTGAATTCTAAATTTCTTCTATTTCCCCACTAAACATACATTTTCGCCCATATTTTTTGTTACAACATGCCACTCGATTTTGGAAAATGGTATCTTCATCATTTTAATTGCTGAGAAAATGTCTCGGACAATTTTTGTTTACTAACACTTGATTAAAGCTTATTGTTTAAAGTTGATTCTGCCACAGATCCATTGTAGCCTAGCACAGTCACTAGGATTCTGTGAAGCTAGATAAGATAAGCTAGAGTAGACATATGTTTACTCTGTGTTTACAGTTAAGTACCAGCTACCTACTTAGCATTTAGTATAAGGCACTTTTGGGAACATAGCATAAGGTGTAGTCCTTCTCTATGAGTTTCAGGTTATAACTTAATTGAGATAATGCATGTGAAAAACAGAGGAGGCAATTTTTAGTAAAGTAAAAATACTCGTTTGTGCATCAGTCTGTTTATCTGCTTTGTCTGCTAAATTACATTGTAAGGGTTAAGTGTTCTAGGAATTGAAAGAAGGAGGAACCCAGTAAAAGTAGTTGGGGAATTCATAGTAGTGTAGGAAAAACTTGGTTAAGACATGGAAAATAGGAAGTGTTTGGATTGGCAAAGAAATTGTAGAAAGTTCATTCTAATAATGGAATACCATAGAGGTAAAATGCTTTTAAGAAAGGAAGTAACTGGGGGTGCCTGGGTGGCTCAGTTGGTTAAGCATCTGACTTCGGCTCAGGTCAAGATCTCACGGTTCGTGGGTTCAAGCCCCGTGTCGGGCTCTGTGCTGACAGCTCGGAGCCTGGAGCCTGTTCCAGATTCTGTATCTCTCTCTCTCTCTCTGACCCTCCCCTGTTCATGCTGTCTCTCTCTCTCTCTCAAAAATAAATTAAAAAAAAAAAGTAAGTATAGCAGATGTGGGAGAGAGATTGCCTTTTCTAGAGTGGGTACGCAGTTGTTGGTTTAGGGAAGACCTTGTTTACAAGCAGAACAATTTGGATGTGATGAATTAGACATGAAGAAACCAGTAATAGTGGCATGATGACAGCAATATTTTAAGAAAGTTTAGTCTAAATAGAGATATAGTGGCATGCTTTAATGGCAGAGACTAGTTATGCTTGTCCTGTAAGCGTGATAAGGGTCTGGACTAGACGGTTGCATTAAGAGTGAACTGAGAGAAGGATATGAAAGATGTTTTCAAAGAAGTGAAAACTAAAAGCTGGTGGCACTTAGGGCATTAGAATGGCATTCAGGGCCTGACACAGGTTATCTATAGCCTCTCTGACCTCTTGCTCCCTCTGCTGCAAAAACAGTGATTGTCTTGGTCTTCCTCTGCATTCCACCTGTGTATTCCTCCTTGAGGCCCCTTGCACTTGCTGTTCCCTGTGCATGGAATATTCACTCCCTAACATCTACCTGACTTCCTCCTTTACCACCGTAAGGATTTGTCTCAATATCACCTTCTCTAGTCTTCCTGATCACCTTATTCTAAAATTAAGAGAAGAGGAGTGAGGTGAGTGGTCACTTCTCCCTTTAGTTCTTTTCCTCTACTTTATCTTTTTCTTTATCATTTAACATTATCTTACATACCATATGTTTCATTTATTTATTTATTAGCTATCCACCCCTTTAGAATGTAAGGTTCCCCAGGGCACCTGGGTAGCCCAGTTGGTTAAGCCCCTGACTTCAGGTCAGGTCACAGACTCTGAGTTCGAGAGTTTAAGCATCACATTGGGTTGTCAGTGCAAAGCCTACTTTGGAACCCTCTGTCCCCCTCTCTCTGTCTGCCCTTCTCCCGTTTGTGCGCTCACGCTCTCGCTCTCTCTCTGTCTCTCAAAAATAAGTAAATGTTAAAAAAAAAAAGATCATAAGGTCCCTGAGAGTAGAATTTTTACCCATTTTTTTCACTCTATTATAGCCACGGCTTTAGAGTCTAGACCAGAGTATTCAAATATTAGATGCATGAAAGAATGAAGCAATGAAGCATTAACAGAGCTTTGTATCTGGGACAGAGATTAAAGTTGATTGCATAGTCTCATTGTCAAAGTGTTAAAGCTATTTTATAATAAATTTATTTGAAAATCAGTAATGAAAAATATATGTCCAATGTATTATTTAATTATTTTAAGCAGCCTTATTTAGATACAATTCACATATCATACCGTTCACCCATATAGTTTACAATTCAGTGGCTTTTAGTATATTCAAAGTTCTGTGACCATCATCACGATAAATTTTGGAGACTCCTCATCACCCCCAAATGAAACCCTTCTTCCCTTAACCATAGTCCCACCCCAACCCTTTTATCCTCCCCAGCCCTAGACAACCACTTACCTACTTTCTGTCTTAGATTTGCCTCTTTTGAATATTTCCTGTAGGGATAAGGACTTCATGGAATCTATAGATCAACTTGAGGAGTATTGCCTTCTCAACAGTGTTCCCACTCCGTGAACAGGGGGTGTCTCGCCATTTAGTTAGGTCTCTCATTTCTTTCAACAATTTTATAGTTTTTTGAGTATAAGTTTTTGCCCATCTTTTGTTAAATTTATTCCTAGGTTTTTATTCTTTTTAATACTATTATAAATTTCATTTTTAGTGTGTTCATTGTGATTGTATAGAAATACTGTTGTTTTTGTATATTGATCTTGTATCCTACAACCGTATTTTTTATTTAGTGTGTTCCTTAGAATTTCTGTATACAAAATTGTGTGATCTGCAAATATAGTTATTTTTTTTCCTTTCCAATTTGGATACCCTTTATTTCCTTTTCTTGGACAACTTCTCTGGCTGGCTTCTCTGGCTAGTAAAATGTTGACTAGAAGTGGCAAAGTGGACATCTTTGTTTTGTTCTTGATCTTAAGGGCATATATGTCTTTTACCACTAACATATGATGATGATGATGATGACTGTGGAGCTTTTGTAGATCTTTTTTATCATCAGGTTGGGGAACTTCCTTTCTATTTCTAGTTTTTATGAAGTGGTGGTTGAATTTTGTCTCCTTTTTCTGTGCATTGAGATGGTCGTGTGATTTTTGTCCTATATTCCATTAGGACAGTATTAGATTAACTGATTTTCAGATGTTAAACCATCCTTGCATTCCTGGAACAAGTCCTATTTGATCATGGTGAATAATCCTTTTCCTGCTTTGCTGGATTTGGTTTGCTATAATTTTTTTGAGCGTTTTTGTATCTATTTTTATAAGTGGTATTTGTCTGCTTGCTTTTTTTTTTTTTTATTGTGATATCTTGGTGTGGTTTTGGTATTGGGTTAATACTGGCCTCATAGAATGATTGGGCAAGTGTTCTGTCTTTTAGAAGAGTTTGTGAAGAATTGATACTACTTCTTTAAATGTCTGGCAGAATTCACCAGTTGGGGAAGCCATCTGGGTCTAGACTGTCCTGTGTGGGTAGTTTTTAAATTATCATTCAGTCTCTAGATCTGTTCAGAGGTTCTATTTCTTTTCGATTCAGTTTTGGTAGTTTGTGTCTTTCTAGTAATTTTTCTCAAAGTTAGCTAATTTGTGGCATATAGTTGTTCTCATAGTATTACCTCCAATCCTTTTTATTTCTGTAGGGTATATAGTAATGTCCTCTACTTCATTTCTGATTTTGGGAATTTGAGTCTTCTTTTTCTGTCAGTCTGGCTAAACGCTTATCATTTTGTTGATCTTTTTATTTTTATTTTTATTTATTTATTTTTTTAATATTTTTATTTCTAGGAGAGAGAGAGAGAGAGAGAGACAGCGTGAGCAGGGGAGGGTCAGAGAGAGAGGGAGTCACAGACTGAAACAGGCTCCAGGCTCTGAGCTGGCAGTCAGCACAGAGCCCGACGCGGGGCTCGAACCCACGAACCGCGAGATCATGACCTAAGCGAAAGTCGGACGCTTAACCGACTAAGCCACCCAGGTGCCCCTTTGTTGATCTTTTTAAAGAACCAACTTTTGGTGAGATAATCGAAAAAGAAGTCCTGTTTCATATTCCATAACTTATGGGACACATCTAAAGGAGTGCTTAGCAGCAAACTTATGACTGAAAAGATCTACATTAAAAAAGATGGAAGAACCAACTTTAGGTTCATTCATCCTTTATACCTCAGGAAGTTTTGTTTTCTCCCCTCCCACATCCCCTACCAGATGATATAATTTCAGTCTTTGGGAAGAGAATTGAAGAAAATATAATGGCTTCTTGTCTTTGCAGATGTTAGAAGGGAGAAGCAAAATTTCTGTCAATGACTTCATCATAAAAGCTTCGGCTTTGGCATGTTTAAAAGTTCCTGAAGCCAATTCTTCTTGGCTGGACACAGTTATAAGACAGTAAGTAAGATACTGCTGGGGAAGGCATATATCCATCAGCAGTTTTCTTGTGCTTTCTCATGTATAACTAGCAGTGTACTGGGTAAGGAGAAATGGAATACAAGAGGAAGATGGCTTCCATAGGCAAAATAGATTGAAAACCATGTAAAACTGTTGATGAGATAATGCTCAATTCAATTACAAATTCTTTGAGTTTAGGAAAAGAAGGTAAGTTTATGGACATGAATAAAGTTGATATCTATTACAAAGCAGGGCTGAAATGGTTTTTGTTTACCAATTAGTTCTGCTAAACTTTAATGAAGGCAATTTGAAAACAAAACCAAGAAACATTTGTTAATATTGTGGTAGCATGTGGGGTGCCTGGGTCGCTCAGTTGATGAAGCAAGCATCTGACTTCGGCTCAGGTCATGATCTCCTGGTTTGGGTTTGAGCTCTATATCTTAGGAAATTAATATTGTTTCCTGAAGGGCAGAGCCTACTTCAGATCCTTTGTCTCCCTCTCTGCCCCTCCCCTGCTTGCATGCTCGCTCGCTCTCTCTCTTTCTCTCTCAAAAATAAATATTTTAAAAAAGTATATGGTGGCATATGACTGGCATGGCGCTCACTGTATTTCACATGTCTCATTTTTATCCTTATGGCCACCTTATGAGTTAGGGACTTTCCCATTTTACAGATGAAGAAACTGGGGCTCATTGAGTTAAATAACTTTCCCTAGATTAATTTGTTAGTAAGTAGCAAAACTGACTGGAACCAGGATTCTGACTCCTGTGCCTACGCTTATTACTATGTAGATTCTTTTATATTATTATTTAATTTTTATTAAAATAAGAATATATACATTAGAATATTGTTCCCTGGTTAAAGTGACCTATTCAACTTTTTTTTTTTTTAATCACTTACATACAACACCCAGTGCTCAAGCTCTGTATGTTAAAAAAATTTTTTTTTTAGTTTTTATTTTTGAGAGTGCGAGCAGGGGAAGGGCAGAGAGAGAGGGAGACAGAGAATCCAAAGCAGGTTCTGTGCTGAGACCAGAGAGCCTGATGTGGGGCTCAAACTCACAAGCTGCAGGATCATGAGTCGAAGTTGGATACTGACTGAGCTACCGAGGCACCTCAACTTACTCAACTTTTAATCTGAGATCTACTACCAAGAGGCAAATATAACTTTTAAACTGATTTTTTTTTTCTGATATTTACTTTCATATTTCTTTTTTTTAAATGTTTTTAATTTTTGAGAGAGAAAGTGTGAGCAGAGGAGAGACAGAGGGAGAGGGAGACAGAAGATCTGAGCAGGCTCTATGTTGATAGCACTGAGCCTGATATGGGGCTTGAACCCACAAACTGGGAGATCATGACCTGAGCCGGAGTCTGACACTCAACCGAGCCACCCAGAATTAGACCTTCATATTTCTAAATCACATTTTTTATTTGCCTTTTAATGGGCTTTTAATTTTCTTTATCAACTGATTGGTATTAAAGAAGGCTAAGATTTAGCTTTGTTATACCTTCTATACATGCATACACACACCCCCCCCCCACTATCCTACCAAATTGATTATAGCACAAATGTTGGATAAATCAGTATTCAGTATTAATATTTTTATGGCTATGAAAATATTATTTATGATTAAGAGATGTAGTATGCTATGAATACTGACCAGACTGACCTTAATGGTTGCCTAAGAAGGGGCTAGTTTTCTATGTACTCATCATCAGTTCTTTCTGAAAGTGCCCAAGAGAACTCTAAGCCATTTGTCAGTCTTGTCAAATGTCACAGTAACCTACTCATGCTGACTTTTTCCTTGGTCACCCTCCTCTTGGAGGACATCTGAGGTTCTTACTATTACTTATAGACTATATTAGTTTCCTAGGGCTTCTGTTATATATTGCTACAAAATTGGTGGCTTAAAACAAAAATTTATTCTCTCAGTTCTAAAGACTGAAAGTCCAAAAGTAAGGTGTTAGCAAGGCTACACTCCTTCCATAGGCTTTAGGGGAGAATCTTCCCTTGGTTTTTCCAGTCTGGGGGGCTCCAGACATTCCTTGGCTTGTGGCTCCATAACTCTAACCTCTGCCTACATCCTCACATGACCTTCTCCTCTGTGTCCATGTCTTCTCTTCTGTCTCTTACAGGGTGCTTGGCATTGGATTTAGGGCCCATCCAGATAATCCAGAATAATATAATCTCAAGATCCTAATTAAACCTGCAAAGATCTTTTTTACTAAATAAGGTCACATTGATAGATTCTGGGATTAAGACAAAGACCTATCTTCTAGAGAGCTGTTATGAACATATGTATATTTATTTGTGTTGACCTATGTTTTTATTTTTCTTGGGTTCATTCCTTGGAGTAGAATTGCTGGGTCATAAGGTAATGTTTAACATTTTAAGAATATCTGAAGAAAACACTTCTTTGAAGAACAGATTAAAGCTACAGGGCAAATTCTCTGGTTGTTCATGAATTCCTACCAAATGCCCTTCATCCATTTGTTTATTTAGCCATACAATAGATATTTATTGAACATGTACTGTTGACTATATTCAGCAGTGAACAAGGTAAGAAACACCATGCTTACTCTCTTAGGAGGACAGGATAATTAAGAAAGAGTATTTGCTGTGTGATACCTTGGCCAGAGCCCAGTTGTGATAGTCCCACACTATCATTAGAGCACATCCTTATGTTTACAAGTGACAGTCCCACTGCCCTCGCTCAGCTTGGGCACTTTGAGAGATTTGCTACTGTCCCATAGTATTCTAAAGCTTGTGCCTAGAAATAGCTGGAGTTCTTCCTTCCTGTGAAGTTTTAACTTTTTCTCAATTGCAGAACACTTTGGCAGGGGCCTTACACAGACCCCAAGGAGGCTATAATTTAGGAGTTTGGGAACTTGGGTGAGGGGGAAAAAGTCATTCCTTTCCACTAACCTCTAACTGAAATTTGGCATTTCCTCTTACTGTAAATGTAGAGAACAAATCAATTTGTGCTGGTGACCAGTAAAAATCACCTATTTTCATTGTTGCAGGAGCCTTAAAAGAGTGGTTTTTGCTTATCACTACTTCAAAATTGTAGCAATTATTAGACCTCTTGCCAGATCTTGTTATTAATACAGAAGCGTATATGTCACAATTAAAAAAAATTTTTTTTTAACGTTAATTTATTTTTGAGAGACCGAGAGACAGAGCACAAGTAGGAGAGGGGCAGAGAGGGAGGGAGACACAGAATCTGAAACAGGCTCAAGGCTCTGTGCTGACGGGCTGACAGCAGCAAGCCTGATCTGGGACTTGAACCCATAAACCATGAGATCATGACCTGAGCGGAAGTCGGAGGCTTAACTGACTGAGCCACCCAGGTGCCCCACAGTTTTGTTTTTTGAATAGTTTGGTAATTGATTTTCAATATAGTTGGGGTTTTTAGTTTGGTTGTGGGTTTTTTGTTGTTGTTGTTATTGTTTTTTGTAATATGAGTGTTTTATTTTCTGTGTTAAAAATATATACTCCGAGAAAGGACCCAGATGCAAAGGTACTCATGGCATAATATAGACAGGGAATCCTACTTTCCAGTCCACTCTACATCCTGCGCTCTGATTCTCCCACAGTGCAGTCCGCTGCCTCCACTCTTCCGTTTGTTCAAGCTCTGCCTGCAGGCTCAGCTCCTGCCAGTCCACTGCATCTCAAAATCCAGGGAGTTCTTTTAGCTCTTCTTGTTTAAATTCTCACTGAATGCTGGGTCTTCTCTACCTGCACCCCTGTGTCAGTCAAGGCAAGTGCAAGGCAGTTAGAGGACATGTGTAACCAACCCACTGACACATTTCTTGTCCATTTGCAAAAAGTCCAGGTTAAGGAAAGGGCATAGCAAAATGTAAATAAAAACCAGGAGACATATTTCTCTGAACAGTAGCCCAGACTCAGGTAAATATCAATATTCTTGCTTAATGTGACACATAAGCTCTTAATAAATATTGTTGATGATTATCGAAGTTTCCTTTTCTTTTGTCTTTTGCAATAGAAATCATGTTGTCGATATCAGTGTTGCAGTCAGCACTCCTGCGGGACTCATTACACCTATTGTATTTAACGCACATATAAAAGGACTGGAAGCCATTGCTAATGATGTTGTTTCTTTAGCAACCAAAGCACGAGAGGGTAAACTCCAGCCTCATGAGTTCCAGGTAAAGTAGTACTCATTTACCTTCAGAATGCTAGGAATTATGTTATTTTTAAGGGCAGCATAATGCTTTTATTGCATTTTCTACCTTTTGGTTCTGCCTTATATTCTTATGGACACAAGGCCCTGAAAATAAAAAATGGATAACCTTTCAAAGCTGAAAATAAGATATTTTTCAGCAATTCGCAAAAGCCACACAACTGACTTTTGTTCATATTGTAATGGTCGTATGTTTTCATTAAGTGTATTCCATTCAGACCCGCCTTTTTTTCCCCCCTTTCAGCTTTAGTGATGTATTTAAATAGCAAATAAGAGTTGTATATATTTAGGTTGGACAACTTGATGTTCCAACATATGTATACATGTGTTTACCATTTTCCTATTTTCCTTTCCTATTTTTTTAAAATAGTAGTTCTGAGGCTCTTCTTAAAGATGAGTTTCAGGTCTTTTCATAAAACTTTTGTCTTTTTTTTTCCTAATTTATGTTGAGAAGCAGTTAACACGATCTATTTTTAATCTTTCTTTTAGGGTGGCACTTTCACAATCTCCAATTTAGGAATGTTTGGAATTAAGAACTTCTCTGCTATCATTAACCCACCTCAAGCATGTATTTTGGCGATTGGTGCTTCAGAGGATAGACTGGTTCCAGCAGATAATGAAAAAGGGTAAGTAACAAAATAAAGAGGGAGTTGTAAGCTCATTTTCATCCCATTATAACTGTTTTTTAGTCTCAATTTTATAATTATTAGCATAGCCTGTTGGAGCTTCAGGTAGAGTCAGATATTAAGTCTAGAATGAAGTTTCTCAGAGCAGAGACTCTTTTACTAAATGCAGTTAATCCTATTTGAGATGGGAAGCCTTAGTTACTGTAAGTCAGGGCTCAGCATGTGTTTTCGTGGAGCCAGGTTGTAAATATCTTAGGCTTTCAAGTCATATGGTCTCTGTTGCAAATACTCTGACGTTGTAGAGGGAAAGCAGACAGATAAATGCATTCGGCAGGATTTGGCCCGTGAGCTGTCATTTGCCAACCCATGTTCCAGTTGACTGTTTGCTCTGTTAAGCTGGAGGTTGAGCTAGAGGTGTTTAGTACATAAACGAGTAAGTGGAAAATAATATTACCTGGCTGGAGTTACAGGCTAGGAGTTGGCATTTGGGCTGGTTATTAGCTAAAGATTAGCGATTGCTTTCAGAATACCTAATAATATTTTTATCTTTTTCTAGATTTGATGTGGCTAGCATGATGTCTGTTACACTCAGCTGTGACCATCGGGTTGTGGATGGAGCAGTCGGAGCCCAGTGGCTTGCTGAGTTTAGAAAGTACCTTGAAAAACCTATCACCATGTTGTTATAATTAACCCAAGAATTTCTAGACTCTTCCAGGTTCATGGTGGTTCATTCTTATCAAGATACAAATATATTATTATGCAAGTGGTTCTTTTTATTTTGAAGTTAATCAGTTATTTTTGAGTCTGTCCAGATAAGTTATTTGTAATGGGCATTACCGAATTTTTTAAAATGCCAATTACACCTACATATTGTACACATTTAATAAACACCAGATTTTGAGCTACGTATTCCTAATCAAGAGAACATGAGGCCTGGCCCTTTGGTGATAAGTACTTCCACTGGGAAATGCAGAGGTAGAATTGTCGTTCCCTACTGAAACAGATACATAAAAGTATTCTGGATGAAACGTTGAGGTTTTGAAATTTAATTGCCTCAGATGTTTTGCTTAGATTTGAGGGAAAGAGAAGTCAAGGAAAGAGAGAAGTCCATTCTCTTGGAGAAAGGGTTTGGATTAAAGCTTGATTTTGGAATATAACCAGGTTACATGATCGTGGTTTACCATGGATGGGAAGGGGAGAGAACTTTAAGGAAAATAAGTGACATTTTAAAAGTTAACATTTTCTTACACTTCTTTAACTGACCATTCTTTATTTTTCTATGAATCCCCAAATGGTTATTTTCACCTCTTAAGATGAAGATATAAATATAAACCAGCTACTTGGTATAAATGAGAATTTGTGTGGGTATTTATTTAAACAATTTAGATGTGTAATTCTGAGAGGAGAATTTACAATTACCTCCAAATAAAAGAATATGCTTATAGAATTTTACAGAGAGAAGTTGTGAAAGTAGAATTCTTCCTCCATGATTAACTGGTTGTTACTTGCAAATGAACTTAATTGCCAGAATCTGTTACTCAAATAATTTTGGAAAACTATATCAAGTAACTGTGGAATAGTGTACATATGTAAAATACAGTTTCTAGTGAGATGTATGCCAAAGTCCATTTATCACCAAGTCCTGTCTGAAAGGAAGAGCGGCAGAAAGACACTGGTAAGCAGTTGGGAGGGCTGAAAGATTAGATGTCAAGTGGTCATTTATACTTTGATAAAGTAAAAAATGTTCCGTGTGTACAAAGAGAAGTTTTCTGTGTTTTTCTACTCAGTGTTGTTTCATGTAACGTAAGAAAGTCCTAAAATCCTATTGGAGAGGGAAAAAATTGTTTAGGTTGCTTATCAGCCTAAACGTTTTTTTTTCCATTTTGTTATGATTTGCCTTTCTTCTTGGGGGAGGAAGAGAGTAGGAGATGATATTCAGGATAATAAAAATGAATTGGGAAAATTATCACAATTCCAGACTTTCTATTGAATTGATATTTTAATAAATATTTAGAGTTGTTTATGATTATTTAATATCAATCGGACCAGTGTTTTCTTGTGTATATGTGGAACAACCCCTGAAATTTAGGTCTTTCAGTGTTGAATTTATTTCTAAATGTTCTTTATTAGATGGTGCACAAGTGACACTGAATATATTCCAGAAATATTTCCCTTGCTGTATTATTATGAAATCAATTCAATACATTAATCTGATTTTTCAATAATTAGTAATGTTAGCTTGAATTGAAGATTATGCAAAAGGAATAAGTTAATCACAAGGGACCATCAGTATGAGCCACATCTGGTTCAAATACATGACACTTCAAAGATAATCCATTCTTGGCAAATGCTTACAGCTCTGCTCCCTTGAAAGAAAAATAAAAGGTTGTCTTCTCATAATTAACTGAGTTAAAAATTAATCTGAGCTATAACCTAAATCCGGATTTAGTCTATTTCTCTTACAAGAACTGAAAGAAAAAAAGTTAGAAGTTTTGGTTGAAATTATTTAAAAATTAAACTATATGTTTTCAATGTGTCTCGTCTAATTTTTGATCTGTTGGTAATTATTTTTCACATTAAATGATTAAGGCCAGGGATAGCGTGTATGTGTAAACTCTTACTAGAAATTCATTTTAAGCATACAGAATTGGTAAAATAAAGGACTGAGTTTAGCAGGACATAATCTAACACTTTAAGCTCAAAGAGTTACTACAGCACCTCGTGGTGGGGTGCGTCACAAAGCAAGATGAAAGTGTAGTCTGGCCCGCTTAGATAGTTTACCGATCCTGAGGTTTGTGAGTGAAAGTTACAGGAACCCAAGGCCTGGGGTGAAGAAGGAGTTAACCAGCCCAAGAGATGATAAGGTAAGGTGAAAGCATTCCAACTTTTTTGAGGGATGGGAATATACTAGGTGTGTTAACTTTAGGACATCACATCATAGAGCTCTAGAAGATTTTCAGACAGTAAATTATTCTATTGCTAGGAGAAATCAAATCCAACCAGGTTTAGGAGAATTATATTTGTTTTTAAATATCACATATCAAGTGTTTATATTATTTACTATATTAGTTTTTTTAAATTAAATTTATTTTTGAGAGAGAGCATGGGAGGGGCAGGGAGAGAGAGAGAGAGAGAGACTTCCAACCAGGCTCTGCACTGTTGGTACAGAGCCCGATGTGGGGCTTGAACTCACAAACAGATCATGACCTAAGCCCGAACCAAGAGCTGAATGCTTAACTGACTGAGCTACCCAGGCACCCCAACACTATTAGTTTCTAAAGTTAAGCTTTAGAGGCACCTGACAGGTTCAGTCAGAAGAGCATGTGACTCTTATTCTTGAAGTTGTGAATTCAAGCACCATTTTGGATGTAGAAATTACTAAGAAAATAAATAATTTAAAAAAAATAAAAAGCATTAAAATTAACAAGGACTTTAAAGACCTTATGTTGAACTAGAAACTTTTACAAGGAAGATGTATCTAGACAAGATGATTAAGGATGTTAAAAGTTAGGGTCTCCTGGGTGGCTCAGTAGGTTGAGCATCCGACTTCGGTTCAGGTCATGATCTCTTGGTTCATGGGTTTGAGCCCCACATCAGGCTCTGTGCTGACAGCCCAGAGCCTGGAATCTGCTTCAGATTCTGTGTTTCCCTCTCTCTCTGCCCTTCCTCTGCTCCCACTGTCTCTCTCTCAAAAATAAACATTAAAAAAAATTTAAGTTTGATGTGAACATTGTTGGGCTATAAGTTGGAAAGTTATCATCTTTGGGTTAAACAACCACCTGACAACTTAGATGCATAGAAGTTGGGAAATACTTCTTTCTTAAATCATTTTTTATCTTTATTTATTTGGGGAGGGAGGAGCAGAGAGAGCGGGAGAAAGAGAATCCCAAGCAGGCTCTGCAGTATCAGTGCAGATCTGAACCATGTGATCATGACCTGAGTCAAAATTGAGTTGGATGCTTAACCGGCTAAGCCATCAGGTGCCCCTTAACATCATATTGTTAGGAGAAAGGCACATGTCCCAAAGTCAGCTCCTTTTTCTTAGGGTTGGATTATTTTGTGTCTTAGGTGCAGTAAGACCCAGCTACTATTAGTGCATCGCTATATCCAAGACAAGTCCTTTTGATGTTGAAAGGTCTGAGCAGCTTGCACTCCTACCATCAGGGCTATTTTATGGAAGTACAGAGGTTCATAGAAGCATAAGTTTGCACATTATTACACTGGCCCTGTATCTTTATAGCTGGAGGAAATGGTCACTGCTTCAGTGCTTCTTGTAATAAAAAATTCACACAGTCTGGGATATATTCCTGATGCAAACCTTTACTAGAGACAAGAAAAAACAAGTAAACCAGAATTTTAACCAGTAAACCAAGAATTTTCACAATTTACTTTGAAACAATTTTCCCAAATGACAATCTATTACTTTTTTTTTTTTTTTGAAAGAAACAGCATGAGTGGGGGAGGGGCAGAGAGAGAGGGAGACAGAATCCAGAGCAGGCTCCAGGCTCTGAGCTGTCAGCACAGAGCCCAATTCGGGCCTTGAACCCATGAACCGTGAGATCATGACCTGAGCCGAACTTGGTACTTAAACAAGTGGGCCACCCAGGTGCCCCTTTAAGGCCACTAGAAATAGCTTCAAAACAAGTATATCATAACAACATTGCTTTAATAGTTTCTGCTTCTAGCCAAATGTGAGAAAAGTTTAAAAAAAAAAAAAACATGTTGATGAGGAAATCTCATTTCATCAAAAAGAACTCTTAGAAAATATGAAACCAGTATTTAAGATAAACCACTACCTCTTCACCCATAACGAAGGTCCTATCCACATGCCTTTAGCACTGAAAAATCAAAGCAGATGATGCTCTTGACTTACACCAATGGCATTATGACAATTAATGTAGCTTTCTCTTTAATAAATTTTGCTGTAGTCATTTCAGTATCCACAGATTCTGGAAGATTCAGATGTAGTCTGTACTTCTCCGGGACCTCAATCAATAAGTCATCCTAAGAATAACATAGAAAGTATTTCTTGGTTAAAATATGTGTTCCTGGGGATTATTCCCAGTTACTCCTTTCCCATAAAATGAGGATCCCATTTTCTGCCATGTGACTTGCAGTAAACTGTTAAGCTGCTGTTTAACTCCCTGAGGTTTTAGTGTTGTTATTACTGCTCAATACATCAAAAGCTCACTGCTACGGTGCCATAAGAGAGCTGTTGCCTCCCTATGTGGCCCTGACTTTGTGACTAGCCAGGAAACAGCAAGGAAAATTTATTGATAGGCGATAGGAAAAGTGGTGATCCAGGTTTTATAGTGATAAAGGCCTTAGTAAAACTATCACCATAATTTGAAAGACAAGTAACGTGTACCTAGTTTGTGTCTTTAGGTAAAGAAGTGTGAAAATAGGATGTTGGTAGCACGCATTAGTTCTGTTGGCTACATTTAATAAGCGACTACAAAAAGAGGTGAGCTTAGAGAAGAATTTCCCACTTTGTAAGTAGGATTAAAAGAATATGCAGAGCCCAGGAATTCTAAGACATCAGGACTGGGAAATAGAACCAAGTTTTAAATATGGGAACACAGGGACGCCTGGGTGGCTCAGTCAGTTAAGTGTCTGACTTCGGCTCAGGTCATGATCTAACGGTTCGTGGGTTCGAGCCCCACGTCGGGCTCGGTGCTGACAGCTAGCTCAGAGCCTGGAGCCTGCTTCAGATTCTGTGTCTCCCTCTCTCTCTGACCCTCCCCTGCTTACACTGTCTGTCTTTCTCTCAGAAATAAATAAAGCATTAAAAATTAAATAAATATGGAAACACAATTTGACAATTGTATTTTAAAAAAGAACTAAGTTTTATTTTCAACCAGTAAAAAAAAAAAGTCAAGACAAATTATTTTTTAGCAACAGAAACTGATTAAGACAGCCTAGAGGTAAAGATTAAATTACATGGTCATCATACCCTTTGTTAAAACTTATAAAACTTATAGCTGGATTAAGGTGGAGCTCAGTTAATCTTACATTTGGCTCCATTGACAGCAGTTAAGTCAAAAGAGGCCATTGGAAATTGGACACTTCTGGGGCACCTGGGTGGCTCAAGTCTGACTCTTGATTTTGGCTGAGGTCATGATCTCACATTGTGAGATCCTTGTGAGACTGAGCTGGGGCTCCGTGTTGGGCTGAAGCCTGTTTAAGATTCTCTCTCTCCCTCTGCACCTCCCCTGCTTGCTTTCTCTCATGCTTTCTCTAAAAAAAAAAAAAAAAAGGAGAAAGAAAAAGAAAAATGGATCTGTCTATAAAGAATTGTAGGGTGTGGCACTGATTGGAATCAAAGAAATAAAATGCTACCAGCCTAGACTAACACATTTAAAATGACCTTTAGACCCCCAAAATCCCAAAGACAAAAAACAGGGTGAGTAAACTGCTCAGCACTTATGGATGGCATATTCTCCCGTGTTCTTTTCAGATGTGGCCAACGTGGATAATGAAAAAGGGAAACCCTGCCCAAAGAATGAAGCTGAGGGTCATGGAAAACAATGGAACAAGGGGACTAGGTAATCAAGGAATCTTGTAATGGGACCCGGCCAAGAACACCCTCTACCTCCAGGAAAGGGACCTCACAGTATCTGCCTGCCAGGATTTCAGAATTGCTGTGCACCAGTAACTGCCGTGCGCCTCATATTTTTTTCCCATTTCCAAATTGAGACTGCTAATTGTTACCCTCTCTCCATTCCACATTGTATGGTGCATGGGGCTATGGCAGTAGATTACACGCCTTTTCAGTTCACAGTTCTGTGGTTCAAGAGAATGCAGATTACACTGGCAAAATCCTACACTTTAGAGTCTGATACTAGGATTGGAGGTGACTTCCTTGGGGAAAGCAGCAACTATTTGTGGCCTTGAGAGTAGCCTGTTACAGCTTTAGGACTTTTGCCAATTACTTATCTTCTTTTGTTAGAGGATTATACATCTTTGCCCTCTGAATTCCTGTGAGAATATTCTTCCCAGCTCTATTGATGTAGGATTTGGCCTTGTGACTTGACTGTGGCCAACAGAATATGGAGTAAAAGTGCCATGTCTGAGAGAGTTTTAGAATCTATTGCATGGGTTAGCCCTTTGTATTTTCCTTCTTCCACAAGAATGGCATAGCTCAGAGGGAACTACCCCTTCACCTATATCCTGGAATGTGCAAGACCATGGAGCAGAGCAGGCCTAGGTGACATGTAAGCTGAGCAAACTACTGTAAACCACTGAGATTGTGCAGTTTGTTACTATGGTATATTATAGTAAATGTTGACTGACACAAATTTACAGTACTACCTACTTGACTTACCTCAGAAACACTAAGGTCACAGAGAGATGCGGAATTAATACCAGGTAATTCAACTTTTATCTCAATTTTCAGAGGTTTCTTATTCTGATCAGCCACAATTTCTAATTCATAGGCTGGTTCCTTCATCTCTACCCGGCTCTCTGTACTGGAAATCTCCTCTATCAGACACCTTGTTTTGCTTGAAACTTCATCTTTTGGCAATAAAAGTTGAAAGTCATCTGGATTGCTCCCAGAATTAGTTATCTGTTCAAGGGTTAGTTCTTTGGGAAAATAAAAGCCGGGGGGTGGGGAGGAGAATGAAATTTAAAAAATTAATCAACAACATAAAAGACGATCGGGCTATGAGCTTTACTATATGTGGTGTTAGCCAGAATGGCAGGTAAAGTTGAAGCTAAATTAGTTTGGGAATCTTAAACCAAAGAACTTGGTTAAAAAGTTCGTAGTACTTAGGTGCACCTGGATGGCTCAGCTGGCTAGGCGTTTGACTTCAGCTCAGGTCATTATCTTGCAGTCTGTAGGCTCAAGTCCTGCATCAGGCTCTGTGCTGACAGCTCGGAGCCTAGAGCCTGCTTTGGATTCTGTGTCTCCCTCTCTCTGCCCCTCCCCTGCTTGTGCTCTCTCTCTGTCTCTGTCTCTCAAAAATAAACATTAGAAAAAAGTTTGTAGTACTTAAAAATCTTTAACAACATGCTAATATTTTTAATACCTAATTTTTATACTTTTCTATCTTAAGTCTCTCATCTTTTAAAATTGAGATTTCTACTTTGCAAAATGTACACAGGATGTGAAACAATTTTAAATTGGTTAAATTTTCCTCTTGCATTCATTAACTTACCCTTTCTCATTTTCTCTCTTAAATCTGTGGGGTTAGTTTGCATTCTCATCAGATTTTGTTTCATCCTTTGAATGCTTCCTTTTATTCTAAATTTGGTAATACTGTAAGAGTGCGAGAGAGTGAGTTGGAGCTTTTCCTCAATGCATTTCATGGCCACCTGTATTAATTGATTTTTTCTCACTTGGTCCTTTTCTGCAGCCTGGAGAACATCAGGATTGTAGGCCACATCGATGACTGTATAAACATCTGTGTGTGTAATTCAGAAGGTGTGAAATGAAGACAACTTGTTTCACTAATGATATTGTCAGTTAATTTATTAAGCCATAATCCTGATAAAACTAGAAAGTATAAAGTATTCCTATACTTTTCAGAGGTAATCACACAGTTGCTGTATACACAAATTTCCAATTAGGGCATTTCTGGGCATTTGACATGGATTATTATTAGAAAAATTGGACAGTATTTGTATAAATAAAAGTATGCTGATTAGTTATTAGCTACATTACAACCAAATAAAATATTTTATTTGTACTGCCTTTTACCAAGTAAAATCTGGTAGATGCTTATTCCCAATAAAGGTTTTAAAATGTGCTTTCTCTCCCATAATCCTATGTACCTGAGTTCTCAGACATATCTTCTGGTCTGCCAACACTTAAAGCCGCTGGATGAGTGTTTGATTAGGGAGCTGGGATCCTTTTCCACTGACATAGGTTGATGAAAAGTATTTTTTCCTTTGGTTTCTAAAAAGCAAATAATTTCGCATGTCTCAAAACCTAGTTTTTTACATTTTAAAATCATATCCTAAAGGTACCTCATAGAATTTTAGACTCTACTTTTTTTTTTTTAATGTTTTATTTATTTCTAGGAGAGAGAGAGAGACAGCGTGAGCAGGGGAGGGTCAGAGAGAGAGGGAGTCACAGACTGAAACAGGCTCCAGGCTCTGAGCTGGCAGTCAGCACAGAGCCCGACGCGGGGCTCGAACCCACGAACCGCGAGATCATGACCCAAGCGAAAGTCGGACGCTTAACCGACTAAGCCACCCAGGCGCCCCATCATAGAATTTTAGACTCTAAATAAGCCATTCTGTGTATTAAACTGTGCCTGAACCCTTTGACGAAGATGGTGCCAAAGGCGAAGAAGGAAACCCTTGCCCCTCCCAAAGCTGAAGCCAAAGCAAAGGCTTTGAAGGCCAAGAAACCAGTGCTGAAAGGCGTCCGTCCACAGTCATAAAAAAAGAGAAGATCCATGCATCATCTACATTCCGTTGGCTCAAGACACTGCGTCTCTGAAAGTCCTCAAAAGAGCGACACCCCCCCGGCCCCCGAGACACAAGTTTGACCACTATTTCCCTCTGACTACCGAGTCAGCCATGAAGAAAACAGAAGACAACAACACACTTGTGTTCGTTGTGGATGTCACGGCGAACACGCACCAGATCAAACAGGCTGTGAAGAAGCTCTGTGACATTGACACGGCCTAGGTCAACACTCTGATCAGGCCCGATGGACAAAAGAAAGCATATATTTGACTGGCTCCTGACTATGATGCTTTGGGCGTTGCCAACAAAATTGGGGTCATCTCAACTGAGTCCAGCTGGTGAACTCTAAATATAAGTGTTTTCACCATTAAAAAAAAAATAAACCTGTGTTTGAGAAATGGTACTGTTACCTGATTTCCTCCAAGCTACTGACTGTCCACTGAGATCCAGCTGCTGCAGCCAGAGGAACTGGGAGGAAGGAGGGGGCACTGGTCGAAGCAGCTCTTCCGGGTGAATGTGACCCTATTCCACCACTTCCTTACCTCTCAGCAACTAAGTTCTTTCCATGTGAAAAACCTCCAATTCTATGATTCTCTGTTAAATCATTACATTACTCTTTTAAAAAAATTTAGTAGAAAATGGCTCATTGTGAGATCTCCAAAATGTATCAAATGTGAACTTCCCATTCTTACTCCTTCCGCATGATCCTCCACACTGTTTCACTCTCTGTTTAGAGTAGTAGTTTCCCTCAAGTTTTCTTAAAGCCTCAACAGCTAAAGGTAAGTTATTCTCTGATTATTACAGAATTATTTCAGTCAAGACCTCCCATCCCTGGGAACCAGGTCTACATACCAGGATCCTGGTCTGTAGACAGAGCTGTGGTTCTGGGGCGGCACAGAGCTGTTCCCCTTCTTTCAGCTGCTGTTGAATAAACTTCTCGTAGCCCTCAGGGTTGCTTTCAGCCAGATCGTCTAGGAGGTTCCAGAATTGAGTAACGTGGGTGAGCAGACCCTTTGAGGAAGACTCCATGATTGAGGTGAAGAGCCCTTTTAAGTCTGTGGAAAGATATGACTTAAGGGAGAAAAAGTCTGTGTAACTAGTGATTCATTTCTTTTGGAGAAGGAGGAATGGGTCTCGTTTGGGTGAAGGTAGCACCTGTGTCTAACAGACTGTGGATCAGCACCACTTTTCTTTTCCTTATTCCCGAATTACCTAGTACCCTTTCTTAAAGCTCTCGAGTTGTCGTCTCAGATAACAAGTCCTTACTTCTGCCTAGACCCTCGCAGGCGCTGAGGGTGGTCATTTAAAGTCTGGATTACCAGTGATTTTCTTGTTCCAATACCTGGACTTGGGCTGACTGGTGCCTATCCAGTCCTGAAATTGCCAGAGGTGGGGGGGGGGGCGGTGAGGGCCATGGGTGACATCCTCATAGCTGCCTCCAGCTTAGCCAGAGCCGGAGCCAGAACGCCTAGATCCCAGTCTTAGCTTTATCACTTACTAGGTGTGTGACCCTGAGCACTTAGGTCATACATCAGTTTATGCTCCTCAAAACGAAGACGATAATACCTATGTCACAGGGTTACTGTGAGAATTAAGTAGGGAATATGGAGAGGCCGGGACACTTCGTTATCACTGTATGAGAGTAATAATATCATCTCTATCTGCAGATAACCTCCTTCACCCTCCTCCACTGGAGAGGCGTCCCACAGCAGCCACAGAAGACGCAGAGAGGACGTTTGGGTTCTCCGAATACTAAAGTAGGGTTAAAACTTTTTCATTTTTTAAAGTAGGGTTAAACTAAACGGGAAGCTTAACTAAAGGGCAATCACTCCAGAGGTCGGCGAACCCACCTGCTCTCTGGGTTCCTTGACAAACCGCGACACCTGTTACCAGGGTAACCAGACCGGGTCCAACATCTTATTGGGTCCGGAAAGCTCCAGGCAGAACGGACTTTTACATCTAGTTCCGGAATCTCCTCCTTCTTGCTTTTCAATTGACCCCGACCCACTTCTTTTCCAGGAAGGCGACGGCCTCCCTTCCGCACCTTTCCATCTCTAGAAGATCCTGGAAACCTTCCCTGTGGGAGTCTCCCGGTCCCCGGTTGGTGGGAAGAGTTTCTCCGGAGAACGACTTCCGGCCCGAAAGGGAAGTCCGCTCCCTTGTCTCCCAGATCTCCCCCTCCCCCCTCCCCAATTCCCCGCCACGCGAAGCTGCGGCGCACGGTATGGGTGTGTTTGTGTGTGTTCGTATGGGGAGGGCGTTTGGAGGGAAGGTTACCGGGAGCTCCGTGGCCGCTGGGGGACAGGGATCCCGGTGACAGAGATGGGGGCATTTTCTCTGTCTTCCCCTTGGAAGCTTCACCCCCCCCTTCGGGCACTCTAGGTATTTCTTGGGGCCCAGTCGAGGATTGTACCCGTCCAGAGCGTCCCCGTCCTTTCGGGAGAGCGAAGCCCAACCCCCGGGTCCGTCCCCGAGGAGCGCGAGCGGGGAATGCCCCGTCGAGCCGGCCGTCCGGATCCCGCGGGGCGGCGCAGCCTCCGGCCTCAGTCGGGAAAGAGACCCCCCCTGTCGGGCTGGGCTGGGGGCAAGGCAGCGGTGGCCTGGGCCGCGGCTGAGGGCAGAATAACCGGTGGGAAGGCTACGTTTTCACGAAGGACTCGGGTGAAGCTGCAGAGCTGCCTTTGAGCCCTGACTCCTTGGCTTCCTGAGTCGGAGGAGATCTTGTAATGGAGTGGTTCTTCGTCTCACACTAGCAAGATGCCTGATTTCCTCAGGATCGAGGGGTGAGTGAGCGGTGGGGTGGTTGCACAAAACCGCTGCTAGCTACACACTGAATACCCGTGCCATCTGTTTTTTGGAGGCTTCTGTACAAAGTAGAAAGTGAAATTCCCCTGAATGGAGAAATTTAGGGCCTCTCTGCATTTGATGGTCAATGTTGACATTTGGTGGACCCCGATAGTCTTCAGATCTAGGTATTTGCTTCATCACAAACTGATTTTGGGATTCTAGAGTTGATTTCTAATCCGAACCTGGTTTGCCTTGGCCTAACTGGCCTGGGGCAAGTTATGGCTTAAGGGAATTTCACCTACAAAATAGGGATTAAGATGCTTGCCTCATATAAAACGTGGGATTGTTTTGAGGATTAAATAAAATGGTGTCCTTGAAAGCACTTAGTTTTGTGCAGTTTAAAAGAACTTCGATGTACATTTATCTCAGTTACATTCATCTTCCCATTAGTGTGGTCAGGCATTTGTCTCCTTTTAATGGTGAGGGGAAAACTGCCCCTTAGGACTTCTGACTTCTTGTTCAGTGATCTTTTCTTTTTTTTACCTCGTGCTTCTTTATAACATTGTGATAAAAAAGAAGGTAATAAAGGAAATTATTAAGTGTTATTTCTTGATTCATTTCAGATTGAAGAATGTCCCGGGTTCCATTGGGGAAAGTCCTCCTAAGGAATGTCATCCGGCACACAGATGCTCACAATAAGGTGAGAGGTACAATCTAGTTCTTCCTCAACATTTATCGAAGGCATACAGTGTGCCAAGCATTATGTTGGTAGTTTGGAGATACAAAGATGAATAAAATAGGTGATTATAATCTATTTGACAAGTACTGGAATTGAGACATATACAAAGTGCTTCAGCGCACTGAAGAAGGAATAATGAAATCTGCCTTGGGAAATAAGGAAAGGCTTCACAGAATGGGTGGTATTTGAGCTGCTGCTGATATTTGAATTCCTTCTTGTTGAACAGGTTAAATTTTACCATATGTAAAAGATCATTCCAGACAGAAAGAACATCATGTACTCACATGGCAACAGAAAAGAACATGCAGCACTTGGGGCTTGGCAAGGAATGTGCATTCAGAAAGCAGGGAATGTGGGGGAGGGGCGCGGTGTAGTAACAAGATAAAGCTTGAGTGGTAAATTAGAGTTGGCTTGTGAGGCTCTTTCTTCTAAATAAAAAAGAAACCATCAAATGTCTTTAAGATGGTTATGACATGATTGTATTTGTATCTTAGAAAGATGATTTGTTAGCTGGATAGGGGATATAGATCAGATGGAGAGACCAGATAGGCAAGTGCAGTGCTCCAGGTGAGAGATGGTGAGGGGTTTGCATGAAAACAGTGATATTAGGGATGAAGGTGAGGAATTTAGGAGAGAGAATCCAAAGAACTTGGTGACTAATTGAAACAGAAAGGATTGTCATTTGATTATTGCAGCATGATTGCAAAAATAATAAGGTGGTAAGTGTGTCTGTGCAGGGTTAAAAAGTTCTCGTGTCATTGCACAATTCCATGTATTTGAGATTCACTGGATAGGATTATTTAGCCACTCTAGAAATCCTCAATTTGTTTGCCAGGTTCCTGATCATAACCCAATCTATAATGCAATAATCAGTGCAGAGTGTATTGTCAGCTACTTTTCTGTGATGTAAAATGTTATTTTTAGTCATTTATATTTCTTTTCTTTTAAAAAAAATGTAGATTCAGGAGGAATCAGATATGTGGAAAATCAGAGAACTGGAGAAACAGATGGAAGATGCTTACCGGGGAACCAAAAGGAAAATGTTACCCGGTAGTTCAAGGTGAAGTTGCAGCTCTAACAACCAAAATAATTCTGATCTTGTTCAGAACCATTAACTTTCACTTAAAAGCATTTTAGTATGCTAAAGATAGATAAGCTCAGTTCTCTGAATCTTTAAGCCTTCCTTCTTTCATAAATCTAGACTCACGCATAAAGATAGTGGCTACGGTGTATATGACTTAATTCTTAGTACTCATTTGCAATGGAGAATTAAAAAATTCTGTCTAGAACAACTTGAAAAGTTAAGGATTTTGTGTATTCTGACCTTGCTTGATGGCTTTTAAGATTTACTCTTAGCTATCATTCCCTTCTTTCCTCTATTAATCTTTGATTCTCTTTCAGCCTTTCTTTACTACATCTCCTTGCTGTGTTCACCAAGTCACATAGCCTTTCACATTACCCTCTTAATAATTTCAGTGTTGAGTATGCAGGCTTATTGTCTTATCTGTAGAGGTATAGGAATATCTGAATGTTTGGAACATCTCTTGGGCTTCATATGCCTGTTAGTGTAGAACTGTATGAAAAATGACTATACTAATAATGCTGATTTCTAAAGCCACCCAGGGAAACAATGAATATATGAGATATTTAAGGGGAATGAGTGTGCCTGTAGAGTATTCAGGCTTTGGAGTGTGATTGGCCGTATGTGAGGGGCTTTAAACAAGAAAGTATTTGGGGTCTCCGAGGTAAAGAAGGTAGGGTCTCAATATAAAAATAAATATCTTTGCAGATATTTGCAGATAAAATGTTTTCTTGCTAAAGATGGTCCTTTGAGAATTTAGAAGTTAGTGCAGATATTGGTTTGTCTTGTATTAGTTGTTCAGTTCCAAGAGGCATTTCCAGGAACAAAATACTATTTTTAGAGTGAATTATTAACGCCTGTCATGGTCTAATAAATCTTTAAAGCATAATCTCTTTAGGGGCAGGATTCTGATGGTCTCCCATTTGCTTTTACATTCCTAGCAGCTAGAACAGCACCTAGCATATAGGTGGCCCGTAAACATTTTTGATAATTGATTAGCTTGCTGAGTGACTTGTTAGTGGACCTTGTAAGTATGGGCTGTATCACTGGTTTTCAGCGGTTTTTCTACCCCAGCATTCTCATGGGTTAGGCCTTGCTCCTACTGTTACTATGGCCTCAGTGCAGCAGGTTGCTGGTTTTCGAGGAAGGGAGATTTCAGAATCACCAGGGTGGTTTGAAATTGTTACCAGCTGTGATTATGCTCAGCATCCTTTGCATGAACTCCTGCTTGAGAATCAGTGAGTGAGCTACAGCGTGCCATAGTCCATAAGTCATTTTTGTCTGTATTCTGCAAGAGGATGGGTAGTAATGGTCAGATTTTCACTGGACAAGTGTACAGACTTAGAGAGTAGAACAGATCATGACTTTTTACATGGTTTGTTTTTAAACACTAAATACCGGGTAGTTTTGTTTTCCCCTTAGCTTGTTCAGTGGGTTTGGTGCATGACATTCCATAAAGGAGCCTCACAGATTGCTTCTAAGTATAAAAGGTCTGCTGTTTTTCCTTATAGCCGGATGCGTAGTGATGGTTTTGATGAAGAGAGTCAGAGAGACTATTGGAGGCCAAAGAATGAAATTTCTGGGGCACTAGAAGATGATTTTCTTAAGGCTAAATCCTGGAATAAGAAGTTATATGATTATGAAGCTAACATGCCAGACAGGTTTGTAACTAAATTCTTGTGACCATTAATGATATCTGACTTGAGAATGTGTACTTTTAAAAATTAATTATCTCTACAAAAACTTGCACACAAATGTTCATAGCATAATTATCATAATGGCCCAAAAGTGGAAACCCAGATGTCTCTCTTAACTGATGAAGGGATGAACAGAATGGTATAGTAGTCCCCCCTTCTCCATGAGGGATATGTTCTAACACCCCCAGTGCTTGCCTAAAACTGTGAGTTGTACTGAACCCTATATATACTGTGTTTTTTCCTGTACATACATTCTTATGATAAAGCTTAATTTCTTTATTTTTTAAATATTTACTTTTGAGAAAGAGTGAGCATGAGCAGAGGAGGGATTTGGGGGCGGGACAGAGGATCTGAAGCAGGCTTTGTGCTGACAGCAGACAGCCTGATGCAGGGCTCAAACTGATGAACCATGAGATCATGACCTGAGCTGAAGTTGGATGCCTGACTGACTGAGCCACCCAGGTGCTCCTGATAAAGTTTAATTTCTAAATTGGGGACAGTAAGAGCTTTACAATAACTAAAAATAGAACAATTATAACAATATACTCTAATAAGCTTTATGTGAGTGTGGTCTCTCAAATATTTTATTAGTACTGTACTCACCATTCTTCTTGTCATGATGTGAGATGATAAAATGCCTGTGTGATGAGGTGATGTGAAGGGAATCATGTAGACATTTTGATGTAGCATTAGGCTGCTGCTGACCTCTGACAAATGACAGAAGGAGGGCGATCTGCTTCTAGAAAGCAAAACTGAAGATAAGGGGGGACTAATGTGATGTTCCTGGACAGTGAAAGGAATAAAGTACTGATATACTGTAACATGGATGAACCTTGGAAACAGGTGAAAACCAGACACAAAAGGCCACTTATTACATGATTCTATTTATATGGTATGTCCAGAATAGGCAAATCCATAGAGACAGAAAGTAGATTCGTGGTTGCCATGGGCTACAGGAGAGGGAGGAATGGAGAGTTACTGCTAAAGGATGGAGTTCCTTTTTGGGTGATGAAGATGTTCTGAAATTAGAAAGTGGTGATGGCTGCGCAATTCTGAATATACTAAAAGCCACTGAATTGTACTTTAAAAGGGTGAATTTTATGGTATAGGAATTACATCTCAATAAAATTGCTATGTTAAAAAAAATTGTTCCAATGTAGACAGCATTACGTTAAGAGTTGTTTTTGGAGAAGTATTTCACAGCTAAAGAGCAGAGTAGAAGAGTTCCTTAGTGTTTCTTGAGAACAAGTTCTCTTACAAATGGACAAAAGAATCCTTTGTGTCTAAAATAATAATGTGGGGTGCCTGGGTGGCTTAGTCGGTTAAGCGTCCGACTTTCGCTTAGGTCATGATCTCGCGGTTCGTGGGTTCGAGCCCCGCGTCGGGCTCTGTGCTGACTGCCAGCTCAGAGCCTGGAACCTGTTTCAGTCTGTGACTCCCTCTCTCTCTGACCCTCCCCTGCTCACGCTGTCTCTCTCTCTCTCCTAGAAATAAATAAAACATTTAAAAAAAAAATAATAATGTGCAGTACAGAAAATGTAGCCAGTTAAGCTTGAAGGTGGGGTTGGCTCTATCATGCTTTCTTTGTTCTGTGTGCATGTCTGTATGTGTGCACTCCTGAGTCTAATTTTTTTTAATTTAAAGAAATGTAGGTATTGCCTTAATAATACATGTAATATTTATGTCATTTTACAGATGGGGTCACAGTGGTTACAAAGAGTTATACCCTGAAGAATTTGAAACAGACAGGTAAGGCAAATAGACTTACTGAAAAAAAAGAAGCCAAGTCTGAACCAGTACCAAGTAATACTATACCAAGTCTGAACTATAAATTGGGTTCCTAATTTTATAAAGGAGGTAACATTTGCCATTAAAAATGTAACCAGAAAATGACAGGCAATTTAGTTGGGAGATAATTGGTATTTTGCCTTTTCCTGATTGATGTTCTGCATATATATATATATATGTAATATTTAGGTTCTTATACATAGTATTCCATACATTAACTCAAGGTGACAGATTAGAATTTTTATCTTTAAGAAAACAAAAAGTGAGAGTGATAGTCTCATAGTAACCTTCTGTCAGAGCTCTTATTTAAAATTCAGATGTTGGGGTGCCTGGGTGGCTCAGTCAGTTAGTTAAGTGTCCACCTTCGGCTCAGGTAACGATCTCACAGTTCATGGGTTTGAGCCCCGCGTCGGGCTCTGTGCTGGCAGCTAGCTCAGAGCCTGGAGCCTGTTTCAGATTCTGTGTCTCCTCCTCTTTCTGACTCTCCCCTGCTCACACACTCTCTCTCTCTCTGTCAGAAAGAAATAAAACATTTAAAAAAATTCAGATGTTAACCTCAACTTTCTATGTAGAGTACAGAATACTAAATATAAATATGCTTTTTATTTCCTATAGTAAAGTAGTTTCTTTTTTACTAGTAGTGACCAGCAAGATATTACCAATGGAAAAAAAACATCTCCCCAAGTAAAATCATCCACCCACGAGTCTCACAAACACAAGAAGTCAAAGAAATCCCACAAAAAAAAGCAGAAAAAAAAGTCACACAAAAAACAGAAGAAAAGCAAAAAGGAAGCCACAGACGTAACAGCAGATTCCTCAAGCGAGTTCTCAGAAGAAACTGGGGCTTCTAGTACCAGAAAAAGGAAACAGCCACATAAGTGCAAGAAAAAATCCAGGAAAAAGTCTCTCAAGAAACCTGCTTTATTCTTAGATGCAGAAAGTGACACTTCCCAGTCTGATGATTCCGCATCCAGCAGTTCTGAGGAAGGTGAGGAAAGAGACACTAAGAAAACCAAAAGGAAAAAGAAAGAGAAAAAAGTCCATATCCCTATAGTTAACAATGAAATACAGCAGAGGACAAACAAACGCACAAATTGGAAAGTGGCTACAGATGAAAGGTCTGCAGACAGTTCAGAGGATGACTAAATGAGAAACATTCTTCATTTGCCCAGCTGACTCCTGGTTACTTGCAGCTCTGTTGCCTTCGGGTTTTGCCAGTGACTCTACTGCCCAGTACAGGGGCCCTGAGGTCAGAGGTGTCCTGTGCCATCTATATATGTTCTGACAGACTTGTCTTGTTTTGGCCTGTTAAACTTGATCCTCCTGTTGTTAATAGGGAGTCTGGTATTTTGTTATGAAGTATTCTCGAAGAGATTATTTTTTGCAATTAATCACACTTAGGGTAGAGTGCATATACAGCAAATTAAAGGACCCAGAAAGCTGAACCCACTAATGACCTGGGTACACCAATTGGAATGTTGAATCTGAGGAAAGCAAGGGCTGGGATCGAGAGGTGGGTTGGAACTGGTACTGTGTCGAATGTTGTAAGGGAACATCGTGTTGCTGTTTAATAGCTGGTGCCAGGACTTAACTTTTTGTGTCTTCAGCCTTGGTGCTTTGATCTTTCTGTGTTTGGCCCCTTAGATATGTCCAGTTTATTTAATGAGAAAAAGAGTATAAGAACAAGATACTTTTCCTTCATGATAACATCCATAGACCGCTGTTATTATGAGACTAGGGTTTTTTGTTTTTTTGGTCAAATTCCCCTGCTGGACAGGGTCTGTGGATACATTCAGTATACCCCTAAACATGGTGATTAGATAGTAAATGGTTTTCTACTTCCATTGCTGTATATTGCCTAAATGGACTGGTGTTCAAAATTCTTTCTTTGGTTGTCCTAAGTCCTCAACCAAATGGGATAAAGTTAGGAATTGGTCATGCCGTCTAATGGTGCTCTGAACAGGATTCAGGGTCACAACTGCCATTTAAATGTTATCTTCCTTGTTCATTTCTAAATTTATTAATGAACTTTAGATTTTCCCTGAAACTAAGTTGAATCAGTTCCAAAATGAAACAGGTTTCTCAGGGATGCACCCACTTCTTCCCAGTCAGCCTTCTGGTTAAAGCACCAAGCAGAGATCATATTATTTCCCTTTGCTCTATACTGTGATCCCTACTGTTGATTCTTAAGAAACCAAAATATCACTGAAAAAAAGGCTGTTAGAACAAAGGTGAATTTTTTCATTATGACAGAATGTCAAGTGACATTGGTTTCCTGGTTGTCACTTCATGGGCTGAGTAGAAAACTTGAAAACCCAGACTTTTGGTCTTGGTTCTGCCACTAACTAGTTATGAAGTCTGAACAGGTAAGTTAACGTCCCCGGCCTCACTTTCCCCACGTAGAACACAGAAATACTTCATGGTAGCATGACAGTGTAAGACACCAGCAATAGAATAGACCTAGAACAACATTCCGTGAGGTGGTAATACTTTGTAGTTCTAACTACTAAATTTGTTCTCTTTCCAGAACAGATTTCTAATAAAATGCTTAGTTATAAAATACATGGTTGGCTAGAGGTTCCCATCCCTTGATTATAAGCAGGTGCTACCTTTGAGGATATTTACTTGAAAATATTAATACTTTGGTACTCAATTGTCAATGTTCCATGGCGTATATTTTTACCTTTGGGATTAGTAGGGGCCCAAGGGTTGGGGGCGGGGGGCAGTCTGTAATTACTACCTCTTAACCTAAAGCAATTGTTTTGTTCTTGGAGTAAGTGAAATCTTTGTTGGAAGGAGTCTTCAGCACGTATTTTTTAAGCATTCTCTCTGTGCTGTAAAAGTTCTGATTTTAGCAGACTCAGGAAGATGGGCCAGTGTGAACAAGGCGTCTCCAGGAAGTTGGTTCTGCTCTGGTCTTGACCCTCCCCTTCTCCCATACTAGCAGGCCTATTCCTTTCCCAAGAATACACATCTTGCCTGTTTTTGGTTTGTTTGTTTGTTTGTTTTTGCCATGTTTACCTTTTCTTGGTCATGTATAAGCAATAAAGCTGTTTTCTGTTCTTCACCCTTCTCCACCCCAATTTCTCTTCTATACCTTAGGCTAAGGTTTTGATGGTTCTTCTAGCCCCCTTAATTAGTGGCTTAGGATGGCTCTTCAAAACCCAAGATCTCTCATTTGCACTACTGGTCTTGGAACATACTTATTTCTAATTTTCCTGTCAATCAGAGTTCTCTGTATTAAATCCTAAAACGGGATTTAAAAAAAAAAAGAGTTGGAGAATTCACATTTATTAACTGTTGTGATACAACCTGGAATTTCTGAATTCCAAATAAATAAATTTCACTTTTTGAACATTTGATCTGTTACTTTTTAGCACCAACAGGCTTGGTAACAGCCTCAAGTTCACCTGACAATGGGCTGATGACCTTCCCCCAGTGGCCCTTCAATCTGCTTAACAACAAGTCCTTTGCTTCTGTCATTCTCCAAAGGGATGGTCTACTGCCCTCCCTTCTGAACAATCTGGGCAAACCGACTGGTGATAGCAAGAGTAGTGTCAATGAAGCGGTCCACACAGCTAGAGAGACAATTTTCAGTGCGAGAGTCCAGACGATTCCCTGGCTTGTCCACACATTTATCCCAGCATAGCTCCATGAAGTGATGCACCTAAGAGGAAAGAAAATTAATAGCTATTGGGGTTGGCATATAGGTCTAACTCTGCAAAATTTATTTCCTTCCCATTCTTTCTCATTTTCTAACACCCTACGGAATCATTCTTACAATCAACAAACCATGGGCTCGCCTCATAATTTGTCCTCACTTCATACTTTGTCACCAAGATGTCCCAGATCCTTGTCCCTACATTGCAATAATCCTTTATCCTCTCTGTTTCTATTTTTCTCTTTCGTAATTGAAAATTACTTCCCATCAAGTCACCCCTCTGTTTGCTTAATGCATCAACTCCTCTCTTAGCCACTCAGGGTGCTCCCTTATTTAATCAACCTGTTGTGCTTCCATGAAATACAGGCACAGCATACTCAACCCTTAATATTCCTGGAATGCCCTCCCTAAAGATTTTTCCCATTCCGCAACACAGTTCAAAATTTTACTTCCTTGAAGTCCACTGTCTATTTTTTCCCACTATGTGAAGTCCTTAATCATTGTAGGTTTTCAGGCAGAGAATCTTTTATCTTTCCAAATAGCTCCAGTGTAAGCTGGGAAGGTATGGTGCCAATTAATTTCTCCCAAACCACTGCACTCTTCTCACTCCAAACCTACCCCATACTACCACTAAAGAGCACTCTTCAATCATTTACTGAAGGCGTGCTATTTAGGATGCCGAGTACTAAGCACTCAGGCAGTACTGCCTGCGGACCTAAAGTACAACTGTCTCCTCAGTCTGAGACGCAGTTAAGCAACGAGCCACGCTGCTAGTGATCCTGCGGCTAGTAAGCGACCACGCCGGTTTCAAACCACGGCGAAAGGGCTCCAAAACACTTGTTCTAAACTACAGTCCAGACTGACTACTTCAGAGTCCACCTTTCTCCATTAACGTTCTACTGCTTTGTCGTTTTCAAACACATTATCGCATCTGATCTCCACAATTCAGGGAGGCAGCGCGCGACTGCAAAACCAAAACCCACATGGGTGGGTGTCCTGCCTAGAGGCACGTGGCCTGTAAGGGGCACAGCCAGGAGCAGAACCCCGAACCTTCCGAATGCCAAGCCCAGAGAGCTCCCACCCAAGGAGGTTCCGGTGTCCTTGGCCTCGCCCGAACCTTTCTCCTCTGCTTTACACTTTCTCTTTCCCCCGCGCCGGGTTTGCAGGGCGGGCACCTCCGCACTACTGGTCACCAGGGGCCGGGGGGCCATGCTCATTTCTTTTCTGAGAAGAACCGGGCGCAGCAGGAACGCGCACTGGGCAGCCTCCCCGTGGTGAGGTGGCAGAGCTCGGCTAGTTTTTTTTCCCAGCGGCTGTCACTTCGCGGGCTGAGTAAAGAGCCTAAAAACTCAACCTGCGCCTCCGCCTCCTTTCTCTCCACCCTGGTCCTCGTCCCCGCACCTGTGCCGTGAACTGCGCCTTCTGTTGTTCGGCCGCCACCAGGCGCTGCAACTCGGCTTCGTCCGCCTCACCCAGCTCCGCCATCGTCCGCCTCGAACGCCCGGCTTTCTTACGAGCGGAAGCGCGCATGCGCGGCGGACGCGCGCCTGCTCCCGGCTTCCGGTTCACCGGGCATTTTCCTGTCCCTTGTTTTCTTCCGTTGTCGAGAGGTGGGAGTTGTCGAGTGACTGCTTCCGGGTTGCTGGGTGACCTTGAGCCTTCGGGAGAGAGATGGCGAGTCTCTGGAGGCTGAGTGTCCTGTGCGGTGCGCAAGGAGGCCGAGGTGAGGAGTCCTGGTACAGGACTTAGCACAGTCTCCAGCCGGGGAAGGCGGTGCGGTGAGGCTTTGTCTGCGGGCGGCGAGGCCTCTTGAGCAGGGAATCCCTCCATCCCGTTGGCGGATCTGGCTCCTGTCGAAACCATGGCGATAACCATTGTTGCTTATGCTCCTAGACGTTCTTTCGAGCGCTTATAGTCCCCGCTCTGGGCTGACGTGGGAATGGGTAACCTGAAAGAGAGCTCCTAGAAGTTACGGTCTTGCTGAGGCTATTCATAAAAGTTCTTTTTTTTTTCCCCCCCTCCCAATTCACTGTTCTTAGAATACACCTACCCTGCGTCGGAAACGTGTGTTAGGCTCTAAGTCCCAATGCCTGGTCTTGCCCATTTACCCTGGAGTTGGTGTAGGGGTCGGGAGATCAATTCGATAATCATTCAGCGGGGCATTTGTATCATACCAGACACTAGTAGGATTGGGATACAAATTGAATAAAACATAGTTCCTCCCTCTCGAAGTTTTCATTTTTATTTGGAAAACACATGTAAGCATAACTTAACAAAGCAGAAACCTGAAACCAAAATTATTTTGGTAGTCCAGGGGAAGAACATACCAGTTGTGTGTTTCAGAAGGGTTACCCTCTTTTGGTTCCTGAAGGAGATGTGTCCTATTTGAGCCTCGGGGATAAGGAAGGCCACAGGAAGAAGGGCATTACATTTGGAGCTACTGGAATGAGCAAAAGTGATGATGAAGGTGTAGGAATTCGAAGTAAGAGAGTGAATAACTAGATATTATTAGTGCATGAAACTGAAGGCGAAAAATGAGAGATGAATCTGGAAAGGTGAGCTGGAAACAAATCATGGAAGAACTTGTCTTGATAAGGAGTGTGCATTTACCCGCATGGGGACCACTGAAGGATTTGACATAGAGTTTGCAGTTTAAATCAGTCTTTTGGAGGGAGGGGGGCGCCTGGGTGGCTCATTCAGTTAAGTGTCCGACTTTGGCTCATGTCTTGATCTCTAAGTTCGGGAGTTCGAGCTCCACGTTGGGCTCTGTGCTGACAGCTCAGAGCTTGGAGCCTGCTTCCGATTCTGTGTCATCCCCTCTCTATGACCCTCCCCCTCCTTGCATTCTGTCTGTCACAAAAATAAATAAACATTAAAAAAAAAGATCACTTGGGTAACATTGTGGTAATGGCCGTCATAGAAGATGGTACACATAGAAGATGGACACACATAAGGGAGTTGAGATAAGACACTGTTGGAGTAGTACAGAAAAGCAGATGATCTCAAATGTTAAAAAGATACATCAGTATGATTTGGTGATTGACAGTTTAGGGAGGGAAGTTATGTATGACTTCTAGTTTTTTGGTTTAGGTTAAGAGTGACTGGGATGTCATTAAATACAATGGGGAACAAGCAAATGGAAGACACGTTTGGTTGAGAAAGTGAGTTGCAGGATGATTTTATTAATTTTTGGCATGGTGAGTTTGAGGATCTTGTAGGATATCTCAGGGGAGAGGCCCAGCAGGCATGTAAACTTCTGAAACTCTGGAGAGATAGCAGGGTTGCAGGTACAGAATTGAGTGTCATCAGCTTATGCATAGAATAAGCTGAGTGGATAAAATGGCCAAGGGTGGGCTTAGGATGTGAGGAGAACAATGGGGGGATGGTAGAATGTTAGGGAAACATTCGAGTGAATGCAGGAGGAGATTGATATAGGATGTCAGAAAATAAAAGGAAGGACTAGAAGAGAGTTCATCAAAAAAGAAGAGAGGAAAGGCCCAATAAGATGAAGATTAAACAGTCTTTGTTGGATGTGACCACATGGAGACCATTGGCAACTTAACAAAGCAGTTTTAGTGGGGATAAAAATAAGTTTCGGAGTTGAAGACTGATTGGGAAGTGAGTAGGTGGAGGTGATTTAACCAACACTTTAAAGAAGCAGAGTTGGAATAGCCAAATTATGGAAAGAGCCTAAATGTCCATCAACTGATGAATGGATAAAGAAGCAGTGATATATATATATACAGTGAAGTACTTGGCAATGAAAAAGAATGAAACCTTGTCCTTTGCAACGACGTGGATGGAACTGGAGTGTATTATGCTAAGTGAAATAAGTCAGTCAGAGAAAGATATCTATTTTCACTCATATGTGGATTTTGAAAAAGTTAACAGAAGACCACGGAAGAAGGGAAGGGAAAAAAGTAGTTACAAACTGAGAGAGAGTCAAACCATAAGAGACTCTTAAATACAGAGAACAAACTGAGGGTTGATGGGCGGGGTGGGGTAAGTGGCAGGAGTGGGGAAAATGTGTGATGGGCATTGAGGTAGGCACTTGTTGGGATGAGCACTGGGTGTTGGATGTAAGTTATGTATCATGGGAATCTATCCGTGAAGCCTAGAGCACACTGTATACTCAGTATATTAGCTAACTTGACAATAAATTACATTAAAAAAAAATAAAGCAGCATAGTTGGAAATGGCCAATAGGAAGGAAGGAAGAGGTGAAAGACACAGAAGAGAAATTACCTTTTATTGAGTAATTATGACATTCTGGGAATTATGCTGAGCACCTTGCATGTATTTTCAGTGGAGTATTATGAAGTAAGTGCTACTATTTTCATTTTACAGATAAGGACATTTAGTCTTAGAGAGGCTGTTTAACTTAATTGCTCATCACCTCACAGCTAGTAAAGTGGTGGAGTTGCGTGAATTTCAGTCTGTTTTTTAACCAAGAGACAGGATCTAAAAGGGGACAGAAAGGGATTGGTTCAAGAGTACAAGTGGAGGGGCACCTGGGTGGCTCTGTCTCTGCCTCTCTGTCTTTCTCTTTCTCAAAAATAAAGAAAATATTTAAAAAATAAAAAAAAAAAAGTACAAGTGGAGAAACTGATCTAGAAAAGGAAGATGGTAATAGATGTACTTCCTAAAGTAGACTGAATTCCTTGAGGACAAAGCCTGTCTTTTATCTCTTGCTCCGGTGAAGAGCATACTCTTACATGTAGTAAGTGTTTATTGGTTGAATAAATGAATAAATGGAAATAGAAAGGAACTATAATTTTTTTTTTTTTACGTTTATTTTTAGAGACAGTGCGCACGCGAGCAGGGGAGGGGAAGGGAGGGGAGAGAGAGAGAGAAGCCCAAGCAGGCTCCACTTTGCTAGTTCAGAGCCTGATGCGGGGTTTGAACCCATGAGCCATGAGATCATGACCTGGGTCAAGAACAAAGAGAGTTGGACCCCCAGCCAACTGAGCCACCCAGGCACCCTATAATTTACTTTTTAAAATTGTTAAGTGTGAAGCCCTTTTACATAAGTGGTTCATTGATTTTTCAATTTTTCAGTGGCTACTTAGTCTGACTTCATAGCAATCCAGGGAAATGATACTGTCCTCATTTCACAGAGAAGCTGTTATCCCCTGTTTGGGGTTAAATAGTTTACTTATGGTCATTTAGAAAGTCTGTTACTCCTGTTAACGGAGAAATGTTTATGACCTCCCTTATGTCTCTTTCCTCAGCTCTGTGTCTCCGATTTCCAGCGGTCAGACCTGCTTATGTCTCAGCATTTCTCCAGGACCAACCTACCCCAGGACAGTGTAGAACACAGCACATTCACCTGTCCCCCAACCACCATGGTATGTTGGTTTTTTTTTTTTCATTGCTGCTGCGTTTTGAGCTCTTGCCATCTTTGTCTTGGCTAATTTTCATGCCTTTGGCAGGACTTGCTCTCTGTGGAGTGGAATTCTTATGTCCAACTCTGTCAGATGAAGACCTGTTTAGCCTGCACCTTGGGGCAGACAATGTCAGCATGGTTGAACTATGCCATTTACACTGAAAGAGAACCCTTCTGGTCTAAGTCTATGAAAATTTCAGTTTTTTTAAAGGAAGGAAATAGCTTTGTAGGAAGAGTCTGTAAAATATAGTCATTCTTACTTATTTAGCTGTTTGAGAGGAACCAGATACAAATAATTCAGAATAGTAGACAATTTAAAAAATCACACATGTTTATGGGGCGCCCGGGTGGCTTAGTCGGCTAAGCGTCCGACTTTCGCTCAGGTCATGATCTCGCGGTTCGTGGGTTCGAGCCCCGCGTCGGGCTCTGTGCTGACTGCCAGCTCAGAGCCTGGAGCCTGTTTCAGTCTGTGACTCCCTCTCTCTCTGACCCTCCCCTGCTCACGCTGTCTCTCTCTCTCTCTCCTAGAAATAAATAAAACATTAAAAAAAAAAAAAAAATCATTAAAAAATCACACATGTTTATAGCTGTAAACTGATTTGCTTTTTTTTATTTAGGTCGATATTAAAATCACTTGGCATTTTTTTGGTGAATATTACAGAAAACCTGTAGGCGAATAGTAAGCTAACTGTTATTTCCAGTTTTAAAGTCTGGAAAGATCTGTATTTTATAGAGATAATGAGTTCTCTTGATTCTTTTTTTTTTTTTTTAATGTTTTTTTTTTTATTTATTTCTAGGAGAGAGACAGAGACAGCGTGAGCAGGGGAGGGTCAGAGAGAGAGGGAGACACAGACTCTGAAATTGGCTCCAGGCTCCGAGCTGGCAGTCAGCACAGAGCCCGACGCGGGGCTTGAACCCACGAACCGCGAGATCATGACCTAAGCGAAAGTCGGTCGCTTAACCGACTAAGCCACCCAGGCGCCCCATGAGTTTTCTTGATTCTTAAGTTAATAACTTAGGGATAGTTGCATCTGAATTATGAGAAATTAGGCAAGTATAGTTTTTCTGCTTTTTAGAATTATTTTATCTTGGAAAAGTTTTTGTTTCTACATTCCTTTGCTTAGTTTAGTTAAATTTAGCAGAGCAGTTTTAA